GACTCCCTGGTAGTTTGGGAATCCAGGTGTTTTGCGAGCTCCTCTGGATCTGGGCTGCCTGATGTGGAGCTCAAACCTCTCTCTCCTCAGGAAGAACATCTGTACCTGTGAGATCTCTCCACTGTGGAGTACTGCCTCTGTGGGAGTGTGTTTTTTCCTTAGGCTGCATTTCTGCCTTTTCTACCGCTCTCCTTGCTGTGCCTTGTTGTGGAGGCTCTGTTCACCCAGGGTCTGGGTCCCCATTACTGGGGATTATTCCAAATACAGTTGTAGATTGTTGTGTTCATGGGATGAGGTGAGCTCAGGACGGTACTATGCTGCCATTTTGAACTTTCTTCTTTCGATATTTGTCATTTGGACCCTTCAAACAGGACCTTCATTTAACCATGAGAAACCTGCATTGGCTGGAGGAGTTTCCTGTAAATTATCAGAGTCAGAGGTGACCTGTCTGCAGTGATGAGGGGTGTTGTCCGAGAGGGAGGGAGCAGGGTGTCCGGGAGAAGGTGACTGCAGCGAGGAGTTCTGGGAGGAGTGGTTAGGAAGATTTCATAGGACTGGGACAATGGGCCGTAAGGTGGTGGGTGTTCAGGAGAGCCTCTACACATGGCATGGGGATGGCTATGGGGGTCCCGGGACTGTCTCCTTGCTGCCCTTAGCCAAACGCGTGGTGGCGGGAATGGCTCATTTTGGGGTGGTATTTGAAGGCCCTTCCTCCTCACATATTAAAAAGAAAAATGGGAGCTAATAATTAGGATGCCCAAGGGCAGGAGGCATCATTAAGCTTTTCTTCAAAGCCTCAAAGATTACGTCATCTTGATTTTTTCCTAAATAATAGGGTCAGATTTGTTGATTTCTTTAGAAAACAAACAAAGTTGGGTCCTAAGAGAGAAGTTCAGAATCCAATTCCACAGCCAGCCAGTCTGAAAAAAAAACTTGTAATTGGTGCTTGGTTTTAGGTTTGGGATGTTCAGGATACTACAAAAGCACATGAGCTTCTACATGAGTCCTTGTTCCAAGACCAGGTGCCCTAAATACTGAATCTGAGTTTGAGCAAACTGCCATTTTTCCTGGAAGACTTTCTGTTCTTTTAAGGTAACGGTTTCTACAGGAGGCTGCTGTCCTCCTGTCGGGAGACTTGGGAAAGGGGTCAGGGAAGCAAGTGCTGCACACACGGTACCGGGGGAAGCCTCCAGAAAACCTTGTGTCACTAAGTCCTTTTGTAAGGTGTGTGAGCCCCCGGGGTGTGACTGCCTGAGGGTCCTGCCATCCTGCCCAGGGAAGCCGGGATCCCCGCTGGCCGCCGCCACAGAAATGCTGACACAGGCCCTGGGTACACTCATTATGGCCAGACCCCGGCTGTCGGTTGAGACGGAGGCGGACAAGGACAGGGTGGTGAGGGTCACAATGTTATTTTATGGCTTGGAGCTCCCAGACGAACCTCCCTGCTCAGCTGCTGGGTTTTCTCACAGGTAGGATCAGGGTGCTGCGGGAGCTAGTGCAGGGGCAGTGAGGCCGGGGGCCTCTAGCGCTCTGTTATCCTGGTGCCCTGCAGAGTCTATTTATAGGGTATTGGTTTGTTCTGGGGAGAGGCTTTGCAGGGTCTGTGTGGATCTCAGTGGGAGGTGTGCTGTGGATTCTGTGGGGATCCATTGAGGGTTTTGCCCATAACGGGCTGGTAGTTGATCCAAGTGGCCTTGGACTTGGCGGCAGGGATGGAGGAGACACAGCAAGGACATGAAAAGGGTCACGTGACCCACCTAGTTGGCCATCTGGATTGCTGCTGTCAAATTCCAGAATTACTTCCTCTTTCGGGAGAAATTCCAGCACTTTCTTGAAGAAATTTGGGCCCGGTAAGGGAATGGGGCCAAGGAACTAAGAAAGTGTGAGTATCTCCTAGGGGGCCCAAGCAAGAGAGAAGAGGTTCACGACAGGACCTTGTCGAGGTTTGCTAGAGACCCCCATTATCTGAACTGATCTGGCTCTCTGAGGTGGGCCTCTTGGTGGTAGCGGGGCTGAGCACTGAGTGTCGCTCTCATGTCAGTTGGGACAGAGACTCATTCCCAGTGTTCAGGGCGGTAGAGAGGGACGGGAAGACCCTCTGTAGTTCCTCGGAGCCCGGGCACAAGGGGTGGGAGGGACTAGAAAAGCCCGGTCAGAGAGCCGAAGGAGGCTGGGACTCTTCTTCCGTGTCCAATAGTCTTTTTTCCATGGCCTGGCCTCTTACGGTAATGGTGAAGGTCAGGAGGGTTTTGGTTCTGTTTAGGGGCCTCCGTTTGTCAGAGCTGGAAATTATGGGTCTCAGAAGTCCTGGTTTTAGCTGAGGCACGGAGAGCACAGGTGAGCGGGCTTGCTACATCAACTAGACCCACAGTGGACAAGTTTCCCATTTCGTCCTGGTCCTTTTAACTGAAACATCCGCCCAGTAACAAACATGGAGCTCAAGGCCACCTGGCTGGGGTGGGCGTCCAGGGCAGACGAAGCGATCTGCAGGCGTCAGAACCGCCGGAGCAGGCTCACAGGTGTTTAGCGTCAAGCCTGAACTTCGAGCAACCAGCAGGCTTGGGAACAGCTTCAGTAATTGTTCTGCAAGTTTTCTAGGGATTTTTCCAGGCTTCCTGGTCTGTTCCTCTGAATCCCTTCCAGGGTCTTCCCCTGGGCCACAAGCGTGTGAGCACCTGAGTGACCGCGCCCGAGAGACTGGGTTCAGAAGACTGAGTGACCGTGTTCCGGGTGTGCTCGAGTCTGCGAGGATCCCGACCTTTCTCAGCTTTGGCTCCGGGAACACGAGAGATTCGGGGCTTAGCTTTCAAGGGGCAGGTTCTGACGGGTGCGGGGGTGGGGGGCGCTGGGGCAGAAGAGTTCATTCGGAGAGCACTGGAACGAGGGGGCGGGGGTGGCCCTGGAGGCAGGCAAGGCGGCTGGGAGGGGCCACTGAGGCCTCAGAAGCCCTCGGAGGTCACGCCGCTGTCTTCCGCCGCGGTTGACTGAGGACGGGTTTCGTATGGTGCTGGGTGCGCTGGTGTTCCGGGGGCTCTTCCCCTCACGTTGTGTAAATTTGGAGCCACCATCCTCTCCGATTCTGAGAAAGTGACTCCGGGGAGACCGAGGTTTCGCGAGTGACCACTGCGGCTCTCAACGGTCTCTGCTCAAGTCTGCCCTTGAAACACCTGAGGGGCGTCGCGGGTTTGAAGCAGGACGCTGGGGGCGCCGGGAGGAGCGCAGCTGGGGCCTGCCCCCACGCGCCCGCACACTCCAGGGCCGGGGGATCCCTGCTCCCCAGCCTCACAGGCTGTTGCGGGGGGGGGGGTCTTCTCTGGAGCCTGCATTCGACACCACGTGCCAGGGACCTTGCAAATGGCAGTCATCTGCAGAAGGACGGGTTTCTTCTGGGCAGGGGAAGGGCATGGCGGGCTGCTCAGACTCGGCAAACCCACGGGCAGGCGAGTCTGGAGCCCAAAGGCGAGGAGCAGGATGCCCGCGGAAGGAGGAGGGAGCTGGGAGAGGCGGTCTGGAATCAAAGTCCGTGGTGGGGACGGGTGGGAATTCAGGGTGTGCGGGTCGCTGGCCGGCTGTTCCAGAACAACCTCCGCTGACGCAGGCTTCTTGAGGAGGGACGAGGTGCGCGGGGGATGCTGGGGGCTCCGGCGTCCACCGCTGTCAGGCCCGGTGCTTGGGGAGGGGGGCGTGGGTGTCCCGGTGGCAGCAGCGAGAAGGCGAGTCACACGGCACGTGTGACAGCGGCTGGGTCTGTGACCCCCGCCAGCACCCCCCACACCCAGGGCTGGGACCCCGAGGGTGTCTGGGCAGTGGGGGGCTGGGGCGTGCCGGCTGTCGGCCTCTGTGGGCAGCAACTGAGCGCGGTGGGGACCCGTCACTTTGGGGCCCGTGGCGCTCGGCGGTGTGAACCCCACCTGCTTCTGTGCCACCCGCTCTGCCGCTTCCGTAGGACACCCGGCGCCCGCCGCTGGGATCTGCCGCCTGCACGTTGTGGGCGCGGCGGGGACCCTCGGCGATGGCGAGCTGGTCCCACGTGGCGCCGGTCTCCGAGGAGCCCTGCTCCTCCTCTGCTCCTCTGTTGTTCCCAGCCGGTGGCTTTCACCTGGGTCTCTAAAAGGCTCCACCTGTGCCTGGCGTGGTCCCTGCTGCCCCGACACCCCGATCCTTTCAAGGACAGCCACCTGTGCCCTGTGTCGGGGGGTGGTGGGACATACAAAGCGAGGGGAGCAGATGGGAAGGCAGAGCCGGCGGCGGTGGCCCAGGGGCTGGTCCCTGAACATCCCCGCCACGGGGTGAGCGAGCTGCTCTCTGGACTTTGTTGTGGCCTCACAGCCCCCCCTGCAGGCAAGGCTGTCACTGGCCCCGAGTTACCAAGGACACGGAGCTCTTGGAACAACTACAACCCAACTCACATAGGGGGTGGCTGTCCACTGCTGCCAGAGTTCCGCAGCGTCGGGGTGACTCCAGCCTGCCCCAGCCCGTCCTCCAGGGCTGCTGAGGGGCCAGCGTGCTTGTGTGTGGCCGGGGTCCCCCTGCTGCTCCAGGCGGCTCCATAGACTGGAGCCTCTCCCGCGCGACGGCTCTTGCCCGACTCTTGCTCTGCCTTGCAGTGTCTCACGGGTGCCCCCACCCCCGCCCTGCCTGTGGCCCCTGAAGGCTTCTACTTCTCTCGGGCTGAAACTATAACCCAATTCCGGTGTCTGGCTACCGCGAGGCCTGGCAGGAGCACCTAGCCAGGGGGCCCCTTTCTCCCCACAGTGGCCAAGCCCACCCCTGCCTACCGTGTCCGGGCGCCCCCCACCAGGAGCCCCATCACAGCCCTGGGGGGCCGCAGTCCCACTGGAAGCCAGCTCCCGCCATGGGCAGACAGGTGCCTTTTGCAGGACCCCACAGAGCAAATGAGCAAGAACGGCGTCGGCGGGCAGCGGTTTCCGGCACCGGGTCCCCATTGGGACACAAGCAGGGAGACCAGTCATCACACTCAGACAAGCCACTGAGAACTTCAAAACTGCTGTCTTCTGCTTTATTGGCAGCTAAATTGTTCAAAAATGTTCTCACGATTCAATAATTACAAAGACTCAGACTTACATTAAAAAAGTAAAAACCAGAACCCCCAGCAGGTGCCAGCCCCAGCAGAAGGCCCAGGGGGCAGCGGACAGCAGGCGCTGGGTGTGCGACACGCACAGGCAGGCCGTGGTGCCCACATCACTCAGTGCCGACTCAAGGGAAGTGCACGTCTTCCACAGCGTCGCCAGAACGCGGACCAGCGGGAGCGCAGGGCAGAGCCCGTCCTGGGCCGGAGACCAGCGCCGCCGGCCGGCCGGTTAATAAGCCTTTCACAGGACAGGGCACAGACCTGATTACTCAACACAGCAGCAAGGAAGGGGGAGAGTAAATCCACGGGCAGAGCCAATGTGCAGGAGTGTTGGGCGAGTCTATGTGATGCATACGGGCACTAACCACAGGGCTCCATGCAGGGGCGGGGCGGCGGGGGGGTGTCCGGCGCCCGCAGCAGGGCTCCGGGGGCGCTGGCCTCCTCTTGCCCAGTGGCAGCTCGCCACGCCCACCTTCATGGTGAGGCAGCAGCCGTGCGAGCGCAGGGACTTCACAGTAGTGAGACAGGTGACACTTGACGGCTGTGACCAGGAGTGGATGGACACACGGACACACACACACACACACACACACACACACAGCCCAGGGCAGGGGTGGCTCCGGGGGCCTCTGGCCATGGCTACACGGTCGGCAGAAGGTCTGCAGCTGACTGTAATGGCTAAGCGAAGACGAAGGCCACCGACTAACCTCCGCTTTCCCGTCTTCAAGATTCTAGGGACACGGGGACTGAAACACAATTTCCTACGATTCTCTAAGGTCCTAGGGAGCAGGGAACAGGCTCGTCACAGAGGCTGCACGGGGCCTGCGGGCTCACCCCTCGGGAGGCCGGCATCCACAGCTGGTTCCGGGCGGGGGAGGCGAGGTGCTGGTCCTTCCTGTGCAAACGGAATGGTGCTGTCCCACCGTGGTGCGGGTCAGTGGGTCGGGCCCACCACCACCAACCATGTGGCAGAAAACTGATCATTATTATAATAAAGATTTTTCTTTATCTCCATATCTACATATTGAGTCTACGTTTCCTTGGACAACACTGGAGGGTCAGCTCAGTCTTGGCACTGGCACCGGAGGCCACCCACCCCAGCTCCCCGGCCCCGTGGTGGCGAGGCCGGTGGCTTCAGGCATCGTAGGCTGGCTGCTCCAGGCCTTCGAGGGGGAGCTGGCTCCTGTGCGGGGAGTTGGGGCTTGGGGGGCCGCTGGGGTTGGAGCTGTTCGATGGAGTCGAGTGTTTGGTCGAGTCGGAGTCAGGCTGTTAACACAAGGAGGGGGAGAGCGTAAGGATAACCGCCCCGGGCCTGTGGAGGCTGGGTGCAGCCCTCCAGACACGGGCACCGGTGGGATAAAGACGGGCCCGCTGCTGCCTCCTGTCTGGTTATGACAACACTCTGCGAGCATTTCACAGCGTCCTTCAGTGCGCCAGTGAAGCCATCACAAACCAAAGCCCAACCTGAAACCCACAAATAACTCAGCAATTACAGTTCCAAAAAGGAACGAGCAACTCTACAGCGAAGAAACCAGACTGAAGTCAGAGAAGGCGCTCTTTCATGATCAACTTTCTCAGCGTGATAAAAGGCCCACAGCTCACTTCACACTGCGTGGCGAAGTCACAACTTTCCCACTAGCACGAGGCACAAACGAGACGCCCGCTCTCACCAGTGCCGTTCAACTCCAGCATAAATTTAACCAAAGAGGTGAGACATCTGACCACTGAAAGTAGAGAACACTGCGGCAGAAAGACGGCCTGAGCCATCTCATGACCGTGGATGGAAGACCCAGCATCGCGAGGATGGCAGTACACCCCCAGAACAATGCACAGCCTCAGCGCCGTCCCTACTGAAATTCCGACAGCTCTTTTTCCAGAAATGGGAAATGGCTGTCCTGTCCTCAAATCCATATGGAATTGCAAGGGGCCCAGAGCAGCCAAAACAATACTCTGAAAAAACTGGGAGGAACCACACGTCCCAAACTTACTCCTCCAAATGCATTGAAAAGCAACAGTACCCCAAACGGCGTGGTGTTGCATCGGCACAGAGAGCAGCAGAACAGAACCGAGTCCAGAAATAAATCTGTGCTACCACGGTCCACTGGCTTTTGGCAAGGGTGCCAAGGCACTTCGACAAGGGAAGGTGGCGCTGGATCTCCACCTTACAACGTAAGGAAAAAGAACTCCCAGTAGATCAATGACCCGAACGTGAAGGCTAAAACCGGAATACTCAGAAGAAAACAAGAATAAACCTTCATGACTTTGGATTCAGCAATGAATTCTTAGTTAAAACCTCAAAAGCACAACCAACAGAAGAAAAACGGTTGGGTATCACCCAAATTAGAAGCATCAGAGAACAGGATCAAAAAGGTGAGAAGACGACCCACAGGAAGGAAGAAAACGCCTGCACCTCATGTCAGGGCCAAGTGTCCCGATAACACAACGTGCTGTTCAACCCCGTGACAAAAGACAACTCAATTTACAAAAACGGGCAAACGACTAGACGTTTCTCCGAAGGTACAGAAGCTGCCAGCAAGCGCAGGGAAACGAGGCTGGACATCAGCAGTCATTAGGGAGATGCGAATCTAACCACAATGAGGTTGGTAACTTCACACCCACCAGGATGGCTACTAAAAAAAGGAAAAAAGGAAAGGAAGGGTAAGCACTGACAAGGATGCGGAGAAATCGTCCCCTTCACACTTTGCCGGCAGGAGTGTGAAATGGCGCAGCTGCTGTGGGAACACTGACGGCTCTTCAGAAAGTGAACTGTCCTCCGCGGCTGGATGCGCAGACATGAGGACGCGCCTGCACGACCGCGGGTCCGCACATGGTCTTCTCCGCGCTACTCGCAGCAGCCAGAGCTAGGTCCAGCCCACGTGTCCACCCGGGGACAAGGAGGATGTAAAATGGAGGACATCGGACGCCTGCTGCAATGTCAGTGAACCTGGAGGCCTTTACGCTAAGTGAAGAGGCCAGACTCAGAAGGCGGCGCAGACGTCCGTGACGGGCACACCCGCAGAGACAGAACAAAGATGTGTCCCTGCCATGGGCGGCGGAAGGGAGGAATGGGAGAAAACGCTGGGTTGGGGTGGGGTGGGGTGGGTTTTGGGGCAATGGAAATACTTTGGTCTTTAGCTGGTGGTTGCACAACTCTGTGAATTTACTGAACAGCCACGGAATTGTTCACTTTAGAGTGGCACGAACTCCACTCACATTCCTCCCAGAGTGTGAACACACGAGAGCAGTGCGGGACGAACGGGTGCTCTGTGCCTGGGGGGTACACTAGCCCCCTCGGGGGGTCCCCTGTCCACTGTGCGGCAGGCTGGCCTGGGACTTCTAACCTGAACCCTGAGAGGAGGCAACGTTGGAAAGACGGAGGACCAGCTCCAGGGTCAAGGGGACCGAAGCAACGTGGTGAGACCGGGGGCTGGGGAAGCGGAAAGAAGGGGCCCAGTCCACCCCTGACAGACACAGTTCAGGAGAAGTGTGCGGGTGCACGCACAGGCACATGCTTACACACACTCATCTGCCAGTCCCTGGGGAGAACACTATGGGGCCTTCTTACTGTTCTCCAAGATCTCAGACAAGCCTCGCCCGAGGGGCGTTCTGCACGAGAGCTGTACTTTTCATAAATTCAACGTCATGAGAGAGAAAGGCTGGACCCAGACTAGAGGCAGGACGACAGAACCCACGGGCGCTCCTTAACTGGACTCTGGGTTTCAGAGCGGCCAGGCCCTGGGCGTGAACAGTCCCCGGGAGACACCGAGGTGCGAGGCGAGCCCTGCCGGGGAGGAGCGGGGCTGCACCCTCAGGAGACGCGCTCAAAACCAGGCTGGGGCTCCGGTGAGGCCGCACCTTCCCTTCTGCTGGGCGTTCCCCCACAGACCCAACCGGGGGAGGCAGGTCACGTAAAGCTCACGTGGGACGCTTACTCTGGTGTTCTTGCAACTTTTCTGAAGGTTCAAAACTTTCAAAATACACAGCTGAGGAGAAAAAAAGTAAAATAAGAGAAAAAACCAAGACCTACCTCTAGAGGCGGCAGCGTTCGGCAGTTCTGAGGGTGTTCTACGAAACCTTCCCAGAAAGAAAACGGGTACGCTATGGCTACTAAGAGCTGAGTCAGAACTGAGCTCAGTACAGCTCTGAGGACAAAGGCGGCCGAGGTCAGCCAAGGGCACGAGCTTTACTGATGAACACTGTCAACCGAAGGACCCCAGACCGTATCTACTCCAAGAAACAACACATCACGACCAGGGAGCACTGACTCTCAGGAGGCAAGGCCGCGCCCTCTGACACAAACAGGCTGGAGAGAAATCCCGGGAAGGTGGGGTTGCAAAGGGAAACCTTTGATAAAAGCACCTGACCGACACCCACCACCCCTGCCTTAGCCTGGTGAGACGCTGGCCAGAAAGGATGGAGGCATGTGTCTTCCTCCATGATGCACGGAGCCCGGGGCATCAGCAGGCCAAACCTCTACTCTCAGGAGGCCCCCCAGTGTGCTGAGCGAGGAGACACCACCTCTGCACCCCCACCCTCTCCCAGGGTCCAAGAGACAGAACTCTAAGGCCATCAACCAAACACAAGTACCAATCAGAACTCATCAAGGTAGGGGGACACTGAAGGGCCCAGAGTCGCCAGCCAGAACCACCAGGTATGCGGCGGAAGATTGCGGTCCATTCACAATGGCAACAAACCCCTCCAGATTCATAAGAATCACTTACCACAAACATGCACTACCTGTAGGAGGGAAACCAGCAACTGGAGAGACACTCCATGTTCCCACACAGGAAAAGTCAAGATGGTGGGCATCCCCCAAATTAATCTATGAATCAGTGTAATCGTAACGAAAAGCTCAACACAATTTTTACTTTTTTTTTTTTTTACCGTGAAGCCAACAAGCTGGTTTTAAATTTTGGGGGGGCGGGGGCGGCGCCTGGCTGGCTCGACCGACGAGCACAGGACTCCTGATCCCAAGGTCATGGTTTCGAGCCCCACGCTGGGTGTAGATGTTACTTAGTAGATACACTTAAAAGAAATAAAATTTATTTGCGTAAAATAAAAACAGCTAAGAAACTGTTATAAAGAAGGAACAGAGATTTCTTTGCCTGATCTCCCACAGGCGGCGCGGACAGAGGAAAAGAATCCATCCACTGGTGGACAGACTATCCAGAAACAGAAACACGTCAACAAAGGGGTTTAACATACTAAAAAGACAACATTTCAAGTTGGAGGGAAAGAAGTGGCATGGGGCCAGGGCGCCATCCACTTTCGAAATAAGTCAGCTCAGGTCCTTGCCTACAAACATACTCTCCGAGTCAGGACACTCTCTTGCAAACAAACATCATGAAGACATGACGCACCAAAAGGAAACCTCGCTGAACTCAAGAGATGTGAGAACGTCTGTTCACCTTAGCTGAATGAGACAGACGGGACTGCGTGAGAATTAGCGTGTGCAACAGACCATGTTCACAGTGAGAAAAGAGCTTCCAGGAATGAGGGAGGGGGCGAAGGTGCGCAGCTGGGCCTGGAGGAAGAACGGCCGGCCCACGCTGGCAGTGACCGTGGACCTCAGAGAGCAGCCCAGCAGGAAGACCAGCATGGGCCTCTCCTGTTCTGCCCGGGGTGGGGCTCCCAGGGAGCCACCGGGCAGGGTGTGGGGCTCCCTAGTGCACGGAGGCTGGTGAGCACGGGCTCCCGCACTATCCCCACTCCCCCCAGCGAGCATAAGGCCACACCCACCACGGCACGGTCCGGGGTGCCCAAGGAACAGCAGAGTCATGCTGGCCCCCCCAGCGAGCATAAGGCCACACCCACCACGGCACGGTCCGGGGTGCCCAAGGAACAGCAGAGTCATGCTGGCCCCGCAGGCCCCGATCCTGAACAGCCATCAGAGAACGGGGAGACAGGCCGGCGTGGAAGCCTCTCGCAGGCGCACCAGGCCACCTGCACACCTGACCGAACGCAGCTACCAGGAGTTACACAGGAGCGGCAGGAGGACACAGACGGAGTTACACAGGAGCGGGCAGGAGAACACAGACGGTCTAGAAAGGCGAAGCTGGCTGGGCTTTTCTCGGAAAGGCATTCATTTCTCAGTCATTCAGCAGGGAGCCCTTACTTGTCAGTGCCCAGGAGGCTTCTGTGGCCCTCCCAAGCCCCCAGTTGGGGCAGCCACCAGCACCTGGAGGGTCCAGGCCCTCGGGAGCAGAGCCCGGAAGGGGGCCTGGTTCCAGAGGCCTTGGTCTGATTGAGGAACATGCTGGTCAGGTCATTACCTGGGAACAGGATCCCAAATCCTTCTCCCACCAGGCTCACGGGCACAGAGCCTGTGCCGTCCCACCCTCCAGCGGCGCCGGGGAGTAACACTCAGGTCAGCCTGTCACTAGGCCGCTCTTCCTTCGGCGGTGACCAGGCTGCACCCCGGTTCCTTCTTTCCCGGGCCTGCTGGGCCCCACAAGGCTGGTCCAGGCGGGGTGAAGCTGCTGTCACCACTCGGATTCTCCCCCACGTGAGGAGCTGCACTCAGTGGCGCCCCCGGAACAAGGCAAGTCTTACCTCTTTGTCAAAGTCCTGGTCAGGATCGGACATACTCCTAAGAGGCACAGCCACTCCAGGCTCCAACCCCCCTGTGGAACAAGGACAGCTGCCATCTTAGGGAAAAGAGTCCAGAGCCCCGGCAGGCCAGGCCCCCACTCTCGGACACCCTGGTACCTGATGAGGGCCATGAGATGTAGGGCTTGTTCCTGGGTGGAGGCTGCCGAGACAGGTTGGGGGGAGCAGGGCCAGGCCTTTCCTCCTGGGAGGGGGGTACGGCGCTCTGGGTGGAGAGAAAGGTAGTGAGCAGGCTTGGGGCGCCCAGGCAGACAGCAGGGCAGAAGCACGTCTGGGCCCTGGCCCCACTGCAAGCCAGGCCCCACAGACCACAGCCGGGGGCCCGAGACCTCGCTCCATGGACAGAGGCACCAGACTAATTTTGAGCTAAGAATTGAGAAGAATGATTTTAGGCCAAGTCAAATCTTAGCTCATGTTTTTTTTTTTTTTTTAAATTAACATATAATGTATTATTTGCCCCAGGGGTACAGCTCTGTGAATCGTCAGGCTTACACAATTCACAGTGCTCACTATAGCACACACCCTCCCTAGTGTCCATTCTCCAGCCACCCCATACCTCCTACCCCTGCCCCTCCAGCAACCCTCAGTTTGTTTTCTGATATTAAGAGTCTCTTATGGTTTGCCTCCCTCTCTGGTCTCATCTGGTTTCATTTTTTCTCCTCCCTTCCCTTATGATCCTGTCTTTCTCAAATTCCTCGCATCAATGAAATCATATGGTAACTGTCTTTCTCTGACTTACTTCGCTCAGCCTAATACCCTCTGTTCCACCCATGTCATTGCAAATGGCAAGATTTTGCAGTTTTTTGATGGCTGCGTAGCAGTCCGTGGTTTGTGTGGGTGTGTGTGTGTCTGTGCGTGTCCCACAGCATCTTTATCCATTCATCTGCGGATGGACGTCTGGGCTCCTTCCACTGTTTGGCTGTTGTGGACGTTGCTGCTATGAACATGGGGGTGCACGTGCCCCTTTGGATCACTACATCTGTATCTCAGAGGTAAATATCCAGTAGTGCAACTGCTGGGTCACAGGGTCTAGCTCACGTTTTTAAGTGAAAAGCTCCACTACCTGCTTGTACGAAGATGTTCCCGAGAAGTCATTTTTGACAGCTAGTTTCCCCACAAAACACTAACAGCCCGAAATGGTGACTGACACCAGCCGAGTGTAAATGCCCGTTACAGACCCGCAGATGAACCACAGCCAGCTCCGCAGTGAGGCGCCGCGGGATTCTGTCCAAGAGGCGGTGGGGCAGGGGCTCCGACTGCTCTGCATGCGGGGCAGCCGGGTAGCCTAGGCTGGTGGACCCAAGGGCCTGCAGCCCCGCCCCGCCCCAGGCCCCACCCCCGCCCCCCGCCCAGGCCCCGCCCCACCCCGCCAACCCGGCTCACCAGAGGCAAGTCCATGAGCACCTGCATGCCGTCACCGGGGCCCATGTGGGCCACGTGGTTGAAGTTGGTGGGGTTGGATATCATTTTGGATCTCAACTCTGGGTCTCTAAGCATCTCTCTGAGGAAAAGTGGAGCGCGTTGCAGACTCCCGAAAACGCCGCGGGCCCCCCGCCCTGCCCCTCCCCGCCCGGGTGCTCACCGCCGCTGCTGCAGCCGCTCCTCCTCCGGCACCTTGAAGACGAAGCGCCTCTTGCTCCTGGTCCGGAGCATCTGCTTCTTGCTGTTATCAGACGTGTCGGGCACGTTGAGGGCCGTTCCTGCGGGAGGGGGACGAGCCCTGCGGTTCCGTGCGGGCCCCCGTGCGGGCGACCCGCGGGCCCCGCCGCCCCCGCCCCGCGCCCCCCAGCCCCGCGGGCAGAGCCTCACCCGCGAACTTGCTCTTGAAGTAGATCAGGCGGGGGGGCTCGCAGCTGAGGAGGTTGAGGGAGCCGTCGGAGCTCAGCGGCCGTATCTGCGGGCGAAGGCAGAGGGAGGGGAGCGGCGTGCAGGGCTGCGGCGCGCGGGAGGGGGCCGACCCGTGCCGCCCGGGGCCTTACCCTCCGCAGGCCGATGGTCTGGACCCACTCCATGGTGCGCACGTCGAACACGTCCACGCCGTACTCGCTGTACACCGTGACGTGAGAGGGGCTGCAACCTGGCGCGGAGGGGGCAGGCGGGTGAGCCAGCCGCGCCCCCGCGCCCCCAGCGCCCCCGTCCCTCGGGCCGCGCCGCCCTCAGCTCGGGGGGGCGCAACCCGCTCGAAGGTAGGAACTCGCATGCTCCCACCCTAGAAGGACCCTTCGCTCCCAAGGTCCCCAAACACAGGGCCCGCCTGTGCCCGCGCAGCGCCTTCCACACACGGTGCAGGTGGTGAGCAGCCGTGCGGGGAGCCGACTGCCCCTTCGCTTCCTCCCGCAACCACTGCGGAAACCAGCGCTTTAGGCTCAACATGCCTGGAACTGAGGTGGGGGCGAGCGCTCTGTTTGGAGGCAAATTCCTTTAAGAGATGCAGAAAGTCAGATTTCTCAGTGAACCCTTAAAATCTCCAAACAAAACTGCTGCTCAGCTCTGGGGCAACCACCCGCCTTGCCTCGGCCCAGCTAACCCACTGGCTCGCTCTCTCGGGGTCTGGTCCCTCCAGGTGTGTGCAGGCGGCCCTCCGGTGCTCTGGTCTCAACACACCCGGGACCAGTTTCCTGTGAGAAGCCCTGGGGGGTGGGATGGGGGAACGACATTCCCCCCTCGTCCGGAGTGACGGGACACTGCCGGGTGGGGACAGGAACACACCAGGGACCACGGGCCCATCTGGCATTTGAGGCTTGAGGGGACAGTCCCCACCTTCAGAACTGCAGTAAGACTGAACCTCAGGGGAAGGAGAGCAGGTCTCGGGAGAGGGCCGGCCCAGGAGGGCGAGGCAGGGGCGAGGCCAGCGGTGGGGTCCCCAGCGCCGCCCCGCAGCAGCACAGAGCCCCGCAGCTGGCAGAGATGGGCGTGTGCCCCGGCCCTTCTGCCTTCCAGGCTCCAGTTACTCTTTCGCGTCACGCGTCACTGACTGAAGATGAACCTTTGAAAGGCTTCTCCTGCTGTGCTGCTGTCACCGTCCCAGTGCACGGTCAGCCCCTCTCTTGAACACAAACGGGGAGATGAAGGAGCCTTTAGGAAGCAGCCGAGAGGCTGGAACTAGCCAACGCCCGTCACAGAGGGGACATGCAGCAAAACTCCCTGCGGGAGCTCTCAGAGAACCGTCCTCCACACGGAGGCCCCTGGCATGGGGGGGCTCCCTCTGCGAGGAACCGAGAGGCATGTGTGGCTTGCCGATAAACTGAGGCATCGTTGTCTAAAGAAAACTGTAAATGAAAACATCAACACCGGTGGCGAGAGGACGGGCTGGGGAGCCTGACAGATGTGCGTCCGAGCCCGGCTCCACCGTGTGGCCCATGTGGGACCGCCCGTGCCTCCCTATGTGACTGGGACGGGTGAGGACACATGCGAATGCGCAGCACGGGCGTGGAACAAGGAGGCAACAGTTTTCGTTCTCCAGCCTGAACTTAGCGAGTCGTTTCTCACCCACTCACAAACGGATGGGGGTGTGTGGTGTGCACACGGGGGGAGTGGGAACCAGGAGGGCCAACACAGGAGAGCATGAGGCGCGCGGGCCAGCCACACAGCCAGGATGCCGAAAACATCACACGCAGTGACCTTTCCACAATAAACTTCCCAAAACTTAGGGTTCAGGAGGAGAAGACCCTGACAGGCAGGGCTGCCGCACGGCTCTGAGGCTGCTCCTGTCCAGGCTGCCCATGAGGACAATGGGGTGCAGCAAGGAAGGGACCTGGCCAGCCATCACCTGCCTGCCTGTCTGTCGCCCTGGCTGGGGGCTGACTGAGTTGGGGACCATGCAGAGGCCCGGAGAGCCGAAGGCTGGCGGATTACCTCAACGGCCCGGTGTCCCACTTCCAACACCTCTAGGGACTCTGCCAGCTTGGCGAGGCCCGCCGTGAGGCACACAGAAGGTTATCCTTTTAGGTAATTGAGGAAAAATAGGACCCCCACCTCCCACCCTGTCCCCACCCGCTCAACATCAGCACGTGCCCTGTGACCCGTCTCCTCACTCCCTGCTCCTGCCCGACCTGCTGCTTCTCTGACTCGGGCTACACCGAGCAGGAGATCTGAGCCATAGAGTCTGCTGAGAGAGCCCAGACAGCAGGCTGCGTGGGACGTGTCCCCAAAGAGCCAACTCGTGGCCCTGACTCACTGGGCTCAGGCCTTAGAGACTCCTGTCCCAGGACCCCGTTCCGGAGGCCACTGAAAGTAGGCAAACAAGGGGCCACAGCTCCCAGCAGTTCCGCAGGCACCTCTGTCCCAGCAGGAGCTAACCTGCACACTGGTGCTGCGGTGTCTCCTGGTACCCAAACCCTCTAGCTTGAGTTTATAAATCCTGCCCATCCGCGTTCTTCAGTGGAGGGGCCCCTGCGGAAGAGACAGGCGCCGCCGGCAGGAGGCTGGCGCGGGAGGGACCCCCCCCCCCCCCGCTGGCCGGAGAGGTGCAGCCAGGAGCACGTCTTCTCCTGGAGAAACGCAGGCGCCTGCCACCCCCACCCGGGGCCCCTCTAACTGCTCAGCTGAGGGACTGAGACACAAACCAAAGCGAACTAGAACGCATGCTGACTGTCGAGGTGACGAGCGGCAACAGGGATATGGCAACAGAAAAACATATACATACTACAGGCAACAGGCGCCGCAGGCCACATGAGCTCCTGCATGCGTGACCTCCGACCTTGTGGGTCCACGTACAGTCCCATGTGGCTGAAGCAAAGCAGGTACTCCTCGCTTTTGAGCTCCACAGCACAAAGGGCATCAAAAGACTGCTGTGAGAGGAATGTAAGCGAGGGGTCATTGGGATTTACCAGGGTTAGAGCCTGCCCGTCCCCCTGGGGGCTCAGCAGAGAGAACCCAGACGGGTAGCCCACACACAGCTTGTCCTTGAGCGCGGCCATCCACTGCACAGTGCCGGGGGCCACGATTTCATTGACCTTCCTGTGGAAAGGCCTAGTTCTCTGGACCTCATAGCAAAGGACCAGGCGCTTCACAGCCGCAAACAGGCAGGTGGAGGAGCTCTTCCTCAGCGTCGCGGTTGCGATGAGCTGGCAGCCTTTTGTTTCTGGAAGCTTGACGTCGGCGCTGCTTTCTGCCCCATCGAAAGCAGACCACGGACAGAGATGGACGTGGTGGTTCCGGCCGCAGAGGAGGACGGCAACTTTCTCTTTGGGAGCAAGCTCGATCTGGTAGACTTTCTTGTAGTCAGCAACACGGACGATCACTGCGGGAATGGAACAGAGAAATCTCAGCGGCTCAGGAGCACCTGCGCGAGCGCGCCAGGAACCTCGCCGTCGGCTCCCTGCCCTGCCAACCAGCTCTAGAACACGCTCAAGAACGTGCCTCCAACCCTGCCAACCTCAGGGTCCTGCAGATGCCAGGGCAGCGCCCTCCTTCAGGAGCCCCCAGGGGCCACCCCAATCTCACACTCCTCTGCCTCCATGGTACCAGCACCCCAACCCCCCGCCGCCCAGGCTGGGAGATGCCAAGCACACCGTGGCCTCGGGGGGTGGATCAGGATCTCTTCCCCGTTCATCCCTGAAGATAAGAACCCTCCGGTTGCACATGGGGAGCAAAGGTCTGTCTCCAACCTCACTGGACCCTCAGATAAACTCTCTGAAAGCAGCCACCCCCAAATTAACCCACTATCCCCAATACCCTAACTGGTGTAGGACCTGCACTAAGAGCTCTCTGAGCAGAGCCTTTGGTCTGGAACCTGAGGGACCAACAGCCCTGGGCGCGGGCTGGCAGGAGCCACCGTTGGTGACACGTGTTCCCACCAGGCTCAGCAGGAAGGGAATGCTGGCCACCACGGAGCAGCTCCTCATTTCTGGGGGATGTGCCCGGAGCCCGGCCCAGGGGCCAGGCCAGTTCTAATCTGCCTGCGTTTCTCTCCAGAGACACAGGATGGTGAAGAGAGGAGACGGGGCTACTTTGCATTTTCTTGCCAGGAAGAAGGAAATACCCCACTTTGAAGCAGAGGAAAGCAAGCTTCAGGAAGGCATCGGCACATTGAGGAATTCAGTAAATCATCTTCCTTCTAGGAGGCTCTCCCTGTCCCCATCTCTCCCCTTAGTCCTGTCCTCCACGAGCTCAGTGGGTGCAGGAAGCCACTCGCCACCCCACCCGTGGTGCTGGTGGGTCTCTGTGCCCTGCTGAACCTGCGGGTAGAGCCTAGCCCTGACTCCGAGGCACCAGGGGACGCGCCACACACATCTGCTGAACATCTGTCTTATTTGCCGCAGGTGACGTTTCTCAGCTATTCGCCCTTCCCTTTGTTTATGGAATCCACACGTCACGAAGATATCTTCGCTCCCAGGGTTCCTGCTCCTCTTCCCACACCCGTGTGTGTGAACCAGGGAGGGCAGACAGCAGCTCCTGGGCACTCACCATCGCGGGTCACCTCTATGACGTACAGCCCTTCTTCTAGGCCGACCACGATCCTGTCCCCATCTGTCACGGTAGGAGGAGTAAGAACAACACACGGACATCAGTACTATTGACGCACACCATTCGCTTCTCAGAGCAGACACAGGCACTCCATTCCCGCAGACACCACACAGCAGGAGGGCAGATCGGGCCCCACAGGCCCCCGCGGACACACTCCGCCGTCCTCTGCATCACAAGCACGGCCTCGCGCGGCACCAGGCACGCACCAATGACGGCGGCGCTCAGGACAGCCTTGATGAGAGGCAGCGTGCTGTCGTAGGCCTCCTGCGGGACGTGCACGACCTGGTTCTTCAAGCGGTTCTTGTGGAGGATGGACTGCAGTCCTTCCAGAATCCCAACCCACTTCCTCTTCTCGTTCTCATTTTCTGTCAGAATGAGCAGTGAGCTGGTCTTAGAAGGTGTCCCTAAAAGAGAAGCTGTCACCTTCGTGACAAAAAAAAGAGCTGTAAGACAAACAAAGCACGGCACACAGATGCCCACAGCCTGGCCCTAATGCCCCGTGCTCGAGGCTGCGCTGCCCTGTACTGACTAAGGGTGATGGCGGAGTCCCGGTTCTGGGTGCCCACGGAGGTGGTGAGGGGCTCTGTTGCCATGAACAGGCGCCCCGCATCCCTTCCTTGTCAGACTGTGCTTTTGCCAACACTGATGGAGCGAGTCCACTTTAAAACGATTTCTTGAATGATCTTACTATACTTAACAAGACGGGAAAGACAGACTTGCCCACAAAAATGCTCTGCCCACACATGCTTAGCTGGGACTGTCCCCCGAGCACGTCCAGGAGCCTGGGCGTCACGGGCTGCTGCAGAAGGTCAGCTTTAAGCACATGAGGATGGCAATTCTCTGTACTGCACGTGTAGGGCAGTTTCTGGGCGGGTAGGTGAGTTAAGAGGACTCTTGGACTTCATTTTGCGGTCAGTGAAAATTCTCCTGTGTTTATAAAAAGTCCCAGTGGAGGGGTGGGGGTGACTCTTTCCTTAACCCACAATGGCTCAGAGGCTTCCTAATGCCACACCACCTAATAGGATCTCTGTGGGGGGCGGGGGGGGGACTCTCCACCTCGGCCAAGGAACATGCTGCCGGGACACATCTACTGATTCCTGCTGTTTGCTCCAGCTGAGGACCAGGAAGTCCCAGGGAGGGGAGCTGGGGGCACATTCCACTCATACAGGACCACGAGGTGGCTCCCAGCATCAGGCATGCTGTGACTGCACAGACAGACCAGGTGGGGTGCAGGCGGGAAGGCAGTGCGGGTGACATGGGGGAGACGGGGCCCTGGGCAGGAAGGACCCCCACAGAAGGGAAGGCATCTGCAGCGAGATATCTGCTGGGCTCTTGCTAAGGCATACTGAAATGCTCCGAAGAATGGTTCCATCTTAAGCACGGGATTCCTTTTTTAGGGTTAACGAGACTTCTCTAAGGAACGGAAAACATACCCTGAATATACACGGGATATCTCGGCGGGAAGCGTGTATGACGTCTGAGGCCAGGACCGAGCTCACCGAGAACTCCTCATCTCTGGTGAGAAACAGAACACTTGGAGCATCAGAAAGAAACACACAGCCAGGCCTGACCCCACCCCGCAGTGCTACAAATCTCCCAAGAGAGGATACTTCCATGGCTCTACTTTCTAGAATATACGGTCGGCCCCTCGCCTCCAGCGTGATGAGGAAGCACTTATGCTGACAAAGCCCGCAGACTCAAGAACCCCGCAGGTGTTCCGGTAACAAGGGACGTGTGAGAGTAAAAAGCCTTTCGTTCCCTGAGCCACATGGTTCTAGTCTGTGCCAGATGCTTCCAGGCACAAATGCATCACTGATTTAGCTCAGACCTGGCTCCAATCAAGTGGCCGCTTGGAGACGGCTTCTAAGGGAAGGGATGCAATCCGTGGAAACAGCCGTGCAAGCCCCATGTCGACCCTCTGAATCCTGGGCTCCACCTGACACCACATCCCGTGGCCGCCAGCCCGTGGGCTCTCGCCCACCAGGCCAGGGCCTACCTGTGCCCGGTGATGGACAAGCAGGATCGCCTGGGGATGTGGAAGTGACCCAGCCACATGGCTGTCCCTGGAGCCGTTGTCAGGGGCACCTGCCACAGCTGGGGCCACCCAAGCACCGGGGTGGAGACTGAGGTGCCGGGCTCTTGCCCAGGGCAGGTGCCGACAGGCAGACAAGAACCCTAACCCCGTGCTGAGCGTGTGCCTTCTAGAACTGCTCTGTCCTCACAACCTCTCTGACCTGATCACGCAGTCGTGCCCACTTTACAAGTGGGGAAACGCAGAGCTGGACGCTACCCCTAAGAGAAGCCAGGAGGGGGGGAGGGAGGGCGCTCTGCTGCCCCGTCTGCTGGACGCCAGAAGGCAGGTGGTGAGAGATGCCATGGCTGAGGGAGGGGGTCACGCGGCAGAGCCCTGGGCTCCAGATTTCTGTCACCGAGAGAACGTGCAGGTGCCGACGCCTTGGGCTGGGCAACGTGTTTCTGGGGAATCTCCTAGTTGTTCTCAGGGGCAGGTGGTCTTCTTACATTAAATACCTATGTGCCAAATTGTTGAGTGCAAAAATACCCACAGGGAAGCTTCTAGCATGCGAGTCTAACACCTGTTTACAGAAGTGCGTGATGACCAAGGCTGTGAAAGTGTTAAGTGAGGTCAGAGACTACCGGGCAACAAACGCCCATCCTGGGCAACACGGAAGTCAGCCGGAGCTCGCGGGACAGGACAGAACACACAGAACAGACCTGAGGTCCAGGACCTGGCTGGCGACAACGCCAGGCTGGGTGGACTTTCCCTCGGGCAGGTCGTAGAGAAAGAGCTTGCAGTCACAGACCACTGCGTAAGCCCGCTGCCATCCTTTCTTCACCCCAGTGGGCTTCGGGACCTACGGGCAACAGTGAGAACATTCCATCATGCCGGAAAGGCCAGGCCCTGGGCCCCAGGAGCCTCCTTGCCAAGGCCTCCTGTCCAGCTGCTGCATGGCTGGCCTGCTTCTCCAGGGACAGCTGCCCCCATGACTCAGGGCACGACTAGGGAGGGGTCCACGCAGGATAAAAGGTGACGAAGGGGACAAAGTGGGGAACTCGGCAAACAGGTGTGTCCACACCACACACAGCATCTTGGAATGCTGTAGCTCTGAGGCCGTCTGGACCCAGCACTCAGCTCTGGAACCCTGTCTTAAGTGGCTGAAAGATGGGGACAAGGGTCTCTCCCGACTGAGGATGTTCTGGGGTCCTCAGAACCCAGGCCTGAATGCCAGAGGGGAGGCCTCCCAGGACCAGCACAAAGACTTCACAAAGCAACAAAGGTCGTCTGGAGAGCGCTGCGGACACTGGTGGACAGTGGGCCATCACGCCCAAGACAGGGACAGCAGAACTGACGCACGCGCCCTCCCCACTTTCCCCATGTCCTACCTTAACATAGCCCTTGTAGGCTGTTCCTATGCCCCTCTGCACATCCACGCCCAGAGGCCGCTTGGACTGCTCAGGAGGGATGGGGCACACCTGGGGTGCGCTCTCTCTGCAGGATACGTGGCACGCGAACGAGCACACTGGGAAAATGAAGGCGCGCTGCTGTCAGAACCTGCTTCCTCCACAGCAGAAGCCACAGGAGGGTGTGGGCCGCACATGGGGCCATGCGGCAATCCCCACACGTCATGGGAACGGCCCGGATCCCCCAGCAGAGCAACCGGTTTCTGGAACAGAAGCCCTGGGACTCTGGCACCGAGTGGTCCCCACACATGCATGTGGGAGCCCTGACAGGGCGTGAGGGCCAGCGCGGACAGGTGGCCGCAGAGCTGTGCGTGCTGTTCCCCCAGGTAGCTGGGCCTCAGTCCCCACAGCTCCGTCCCCAGATCACCCGCAGAGGAAGCCACCTGCGGGTGTGTGACAGAACAGTGGCTCCGAGGATAGACAGGGGTCCTGGCAGCCGATCTGAAGTCCTGCCATGAACAAAGGAGGTGGCTTCTGCGGCCAGGTAGAAGCACAGAAAGCTGCTTTTGCAGAGCACCCCCCCCTCCGAGCAGCGGCTAGGACTTCAGGGGGCTGCTTATCGGTGACCAGGGCCGTCACATTGCCCCGCGGTGGCCACGCTGACAGACTGAGTGAGGTACGGGGCACCCAGAGGTTCCAAGGCCAACCATGATGCCAGGAGAGACAGAACACCTCCGCCTACCCTCAATGACAGGACGGGAGGAGAGTGAAGTTGTTTAGTCTCTGCTCTTCCTGATTTTCCGGAAGGACCGCAGACATTTCATTTCACAGTAACCAAGAGCCCACAGATAACCTGGGTCCCTGTGGCCCTGTGGTCTCCCAAACTTCAAATAAGCATTTATACAACTAAAGAGAGCATCTGCCCTCGCCAGCTCACCACTGGCTCGTGTCCACTGCTCCCCAACCCACAGTGCGCCCAGGCCCGTGCAGGCACCCTGCGGCCTCCACTCACCCTCGCAGGCGTAGCCCTGCCGGATCAGGCCCACCATCAGGGACGTGCAGTGGCTGCACTGTGTGGGGCTGGAGAAGGACTTGATGCTGAACTGGTGAGCTTTTGGCTGGAGGAAGAACATCAAGAAGGTGAGACCCAGGCTCTGAGCAGAGACCACCAGTCTGCTGCAATCACACTGATAGTCTTGGGCATGACCTTGAGAAGCTGAGAATGTGCAGTTCCACTCCGACGTGTACATGTGCCCTCCTGGTGATAACGAAGAGCAGAGCCGACCACCTGCCTCCCAAGCTCAAGCCAGAAGAGAAGTCAGCACACGCCTCCCCTGGGGCGCGGCCCTGCTCCCAGAAACAGCAAGGGGCTCGGCAGGGGTGCGCTGGCACCAGCGCCTGGCCTCCTGGGGGCGCCACCCAGGGCTGCACACGCATGCGAGACCCACAGTCGCGCAAGAAACCCACGGCAGCCCTGCTCCCGAGAGCAAGGGCATGGACAGACTGCCGTCCCTTGTCGGGAGGGCAGGCGCACCACATGATCCACCACGGGGGACGGAGCGTGAGGCCGAACAGAGGAGCAAGCTGGAAGCCCGCAGAACTGAGAGTGTGTAAAGCTCCAAAAGAAAGGATAATTACTCGGGGACACAAATGCCACAGGACCACGGGTAAGAAGCAAGGGAGTGGGCAACACCAAATCCAGAGGCCAGTGCCCCCAACTCTACAGGCATCTAAACCCAAAGCCTAACAAAATCAAGTGTCTAGCTGGCCCACTGTCTCCGGCTGAGGCCGTGCCTTGTTCGCGGAGAATGAAGCGTCTGAGGGCATCAGGCCATGCGCTTGCTAAGCCGGACACTTCGGGCCTCCTCACGAGAGCCCAGAGCCGGCGCGCGGCCCTCCACACACACTCCTGGGAAGAATAAGGTACCGAACTGAGCGCTGGGCGCCGTTCTGCTTACTCTGGGGAAAACACCCTTCCAAGAACCACATGGTTCTCTCCCATTCCAAGTGCAGACAGACAGATGGATGTCAGCTGGAAGGAGCATGGCGGACACGTGACCGGAGTGGTCACTGCTGGAGAAGGAAGTGTGGTCTGGGAGATGAAGAAGAGGAGACTGATTCTGAAATTTCCCAGTTAACACGCAACCCTGTGTCATTCACTGGTTGAATTAAGGAGACACAGGGTCGGGCGCCTGAGTGGCTCAGTTAGTTAAGTGTCTGCCTTTGCCTCAGGTCATGATCTCAGGTCCTGGGATTGAGTCCTGCTTCAGGCTCCCTGCTCGGCGGGGAGCCTGCTTCCCCCTCTACCCCTCCATTGCTTGTGCTCTCTCATATACTCTCTCAAGAAAATAAATTCTTAAAAAATGAGAGGTAAGGTCCTGACACTTCGTGGACCACACACTGTCACAGCAAGCCATTACTAGACACCAGGGTCTCACTGTGCACACAGAAACAGTCTTATTTATACGAAGTTATCTCCTAAAACTGAGAAGGAGGCACGGGTGCAAAGCCAGGCCCCTACCTTTGGTCCGGCCAGCGCGAGGGGCTGCGTGGTGGGCAGCGGCACAGCGGGTGGCCTCTGTGTGGCCCGAGCCATGTCCTGGGGACAAGCAGGGACAGGTGAGCATCCTCTGAGCTCGCTACTGCTCTTACATGTCACACCCTGCTTGGGATTCGTTTCTCTCTCGAACCGATTAATAATGAATGGCATTTTTAATCTCCTACATTGTTGAGACATCTGTCAGAGCAGGCCTCATCCAGCGGGTAACCTGACGATAACTGAGACAAGTTGGGCTCGACAGCTGGCAGAGGGTCCTGCTACAGGCCGAGTGGCAGGCCTGGGGCCACCCTGGCGTGAGCACGGCCCTGCCTATCAAGGACATAGGCGAGGAGGGACCCCAGGGCTCGCAGGGGGTAACAGGGTTAACACTGCTTACTTCCTGCTGTTCTGTGCTTGCGGCCGCGGAAACCGATGGGGACACCTCTGCCTTTGGAGCCTGTGTCTCTTGCTCCCCAGCTGAGCCGCTCTGTGAAGACAAAGGCAGAGACACACAATGGGAAAGAGAGAACTTCACAGAAGTCAGACTCTGACTGCTGGGTCTGTCCCCCTGGAGACCTGAAGTCCCACCTAGGCCCAGACACTGGTCATGTCCCATCAGAGCCCACTTTACTCACAGCTGTGCTGCCTTCCCTGAGGACCACTGCCCTTGGCATTCTAAGACCAGAGTGCTGACAGGAGGACTGCGCGGTCTGACAAGTCAAGGTTATCACCAAAGGCCAGAGGCCACCTTCCTCACCCTCCACCTGCAGCCCTGACCAGCTGTTCTCCCTTCCACCCTCTATTGAAGGGGCAGGAACTAGAAACCGCCGACCCACTCTTCTCATTCAGAAGTGACTTTATCTATAACTGGTATCGTTAAGCTAAAGGAGTCCAGTACTTTTTAACCTCATTTCGGGGGCCAAGAAGAAATTACGATGTCAATAAGGGTCTGGGGCCTATGACCCAGAAGTAAGAATTTCCTTGAAAGTTTTATAACACGGGAAGGCAATGTTTTGTTCTAAGAACTCAAGATTCCCAAGTTAATTTCACAATTGAAACGGAAGCTAAAGCTTTGAATCTAATTTGAAGTTGTTTTTATAACCACTTAAAAAGGACCTCATTTCCAGTGTTCCTTAAATTGTTTCCTCACAAACGACTGTGACTATTTGCATAGACATGCGTAAAGCACGTACATGTGCTCCATAAGCGTGAGCACTGTGACATGGAGGTGGCTGGTGGGTTCTTATGGGAACAGTTTATAGCTTTATCTAGTGTTCCACACTGAAATCCCAGTGACGCAAACCAGGAAACACTTCCTAGAAGTTGGAATGAGCGAGGTTCCTGTATAAGGAGCTGAATTCAGACAGGAAGGTATGTCTGCTCATGAACACACACGACCACGCACCGCACTATTTAAATCTGTTAGCAAACTCATGAGAGAAATGCTCTGTGAATTAGCTAATCATCAAAGTACAAACTAAGTGGGGCGTCTGGGTGGCTCAGTGGGTTAAGCCTCTGCCTTCAGCTCAGGTCATGATCCTAGGGTCCTGGGATCGAGCCCCGCATCGGGCTCTGCTCAGCGGGGAGCCTGCTTCCCTCTCTCTCTGCCTGCCTCTCTGCCTACTTGTGATCTCTCTCTGTCAAATAAATAAATAAAATCTTTAAAAAAAAAAATACAAACTAAGCAAGTTTCTCCCATGAGGTACGGTACACGCATTAGAGTTCCATCTCTAGACAAACGAAGTAAAAGGATGCGAGGTAACTGAATTTCAGCCACGTGATGGCCTGGCTAGTCTCCCTTGGTTGGGGAGTCCAAGCATGGGAATGAGGGATGAGGAGCCATCCACATCTGAGGGCAGCTGGGGACACAGGGAGGGGGGGGGGCCAGCACGGGCCGTGGCTTACTTCTTCCCAAGAGGCTGGCAGAAGATGTGGGGAGGAGGCAGAGTCCTTGGTTGTGACAGACGGTGGGGTGGAGGGGAACGAGAACCATCAAAATACACTGACCCCGTCACTGTAACCAACACTATAGTATTTAACGATGTGTTTGTACAGAGAAAGCAAGGTAGAAACTTTTAGAAGATGGTTCTCAGGTCTGGAAACACCTGACAAACCCAGACTCTGACCAAGGATTTTTTCTTTCCATCAATGAGTGTCCTTCGTCCTTAAACCACAGAGGGAAGGAGGGGCGGAGGCCAAACATGGAGATGGCAGGAGTGCCGGCTGCTGGATACAGAGCCTCCGTCCAGGTCCACGATGGGACCACCTCCCCAAGGACCACTCCTCTTGCCCCAAACCTGCAGAAAAGCCTCGGTTCTCCAGGCCACCTCCACCCGGTGAGGACGGCAGGCCTCGGTCTGTGGGGACGTGCCTGGCGTTCCCGTGATGGGAGACACACGGGCCCCACGAGGCGGCATGTCTCTGAAGGAAGCAGGTAAAACCATCTGCTTCTTAAAACTGAGGACTTCAGGGCGCCTGGTGGCTCAGTGGGTTAGGCCGCTGCCTTCGGCTCAGGTCATGATCTCGGGGTCCTGGGATCGAGTCCCGCATCGGGCTCTTTGCTCGGCGGGGAGCCTGCTTCCCTCTCTCCCTCTCCGCCTGCCTCTTTGTCTACTTGTGATCTCTCTCTGTCAAATAAATAAATAAAATCTTTAAAAAAAAATAAGAACTCTTATAAAAAAAAAAAAAACGACTTCAGGGAAAAGAAAAACATCACCAGTTTGGTAAGAAACCATTCTTTTTTTTTTTTTTTTTTTTTTTTTAAGATTTATTTATTTGACAGTGATCACAAGTAGGCAGAGAGAGAGGGGGAAGCAGTCTCCCTGAGCAGAGACCCTGATGCGGGACTCAATCCCAGGACCCTGGGATCATGACCTGAGCCGAAGGCAGAGGTTTAACCCACTGAGCCACCCAGGCGCCCCTCTAAGAAACCATTCTGACAGATGAACAGAAGCAGGTACGAGCCAGGGTGGCAGGAGTAATACAAACCTGCTTGATTTGGTCATAACCGACACCAGGCAAGGACCGCCGACAGACACCAGCCCGCAGGCACACAGCCAGCCAGCAGCCATCCCAAAGGCCCAGTGCTGACGAAGGTGGGGTGGGCTCTCGCAGACACCACCTCACCCTAATGACGAGGCCCGGCATCACCAACCCTACACGGGAAGTACCCCAGCATCACCAATACACACAGGGGAAGTACCCAACATCTCCTGGGCAGAATCTGTGTCCAAAAGTGCAACCCACTTCCAATCGTGAGGACTATCAGACAAATCAGAACATAGGACATTCTGCAGGGCAGCTGGGACGGCCACTACAGAAATGCCAATGTTATAACGACGGAGGTGGGGGAGCAGTGGGGGCTGCTGTTCCAGACCCAAGACCCATGTGTCCTATGGGCTTTGGCTGGATCCTGACAAGGGAAGGCCAGGCAGCGGTAAAGGACTTTGCTGGGGCAACAGGGGAAATGTACGTGCGTGCTCTGCTATGGCATCAGCGCAAAACGTCCTCTGCCTGCTAGCAATGGCGTGCTTATGTGCCAACACCCTGATCTTGAAACCCCGCCGTGTCCGGGGACGTGTCTGTACACACAGATGGGGTCATACAGCTGAGAGAGGCCCGTATGCTTACTGTACTACTCTTTCAAATTTCCTGAAGGCTTATAATTTTCTAAATAAAAAGCTGGAAATCAGTAAATACAATGACACTTTGTCAGAAGTCCCATTAATGTGATCGGCTTTCATTATCTTAATTTCTGGCTTGTTTTAAGGGTTGCTTGACCCTAGTAAGGGTCCACCTCTAGCATTTTGGAAAAATGAGGGAAAGGCTGTGCTGGGTCCACTAACAGCGCACACAGGGACGAAGTCAGGCTCACACACACCGACAGCTGCTTCCTTGGGCAGCCCCGACCTGCTCCCGCGGGGGTCACTCCCAGAGCAGAGGCAGCAGGTCGGTGACAGGGCACCTGGGGCTTGACTCCTCTCATAAACCACCTTTCCTCTACCTGCCCCTAGCCAGTACAGGAGCCACTGAAAGGGTAATGACACTGGCTTATTCTTCATCAGCTGCAGTATGAGAATCTGTATTTTCAAAACTGCCCTGGGCGCCTGGGTGGCTCAGTGGGTTAAGCGTGTGCCTTCAGCTCAGGTCATGATCCCAGTGTCCGGGGATGGAGCCCCACGTCAGGCTCCCTGCTCAGCGGGGAGCCTGCTTCTCCCTCTGTCTGCCGCTCCCCCTGCTTGTGTGCTCTCTGACAAATAAAAAACAAAACACAAAACTGCCTGAAATACTCAGCACACAGCCAGAGGCCAGTGTAGATTTTCTTCCCCGAAGACGTGAAGCACTTTCTTAATCAACTTCCTTTTAGCCTGAGGACGCTTCTCTGGGAACCCTGTGAATACCTCAGATGCGTCTAACCGCACACACTGAACACCTGCGTCAGTGACGGGTCCGTGCGAGGCAGAAAGCTGTGGGTGGCCCTGGGCGGGGTCACAGCATGTCATACTAGTTCCAACGTAACATCAATTCATTGATCACTTTGAAAAATAACCACTTACTCTAAATGTCAGATCGTGTGCAAGAGGCGCAGTGTTGAAATACTCAAAAATGGAATCCTGAAAATCTGGAAGTTTGAGTCCTGTAAAAAAGAAACAAAGACCAGTCAAAGCAGGTTTAAAAGACAGTCTGTTGTGTTTACATGGGAAGATGTGACAGCATCAAGACATCAATCCCCCATACGCCAATTGGTAAATCTGATGCAATTCTAGTCATGTTCTAGTCATGGTCCGGAGACTCACCAAGGAAGACAGTCTCAGGAATCCTTACAAAAGGGGGTTGGAAAAGAAGAACTACCAGATATTAAAACAGGTCCCCCAAAGCCTCTTTAATCACGATCAAGTCAACAATGAACAAGGAGGAAAATCCAGAGATAGACTCTGGTGCTCCGGGGACTCATGTGGGAAGAGTCACATATGAAACCAGTACAGAGAGGAACTTTCTAGTAACTGCTTTGAGACAACCGACTAGCCACAGGAAAAAAACAAAACTAGATCCATTCCTCAAACTGTACATCAGAATCCATCCAACTGAATGAGTACTCCCGACGTAACCGATGAAACCGTACCAGCACGGACAGCACGAGCAACTCACTTGGAACACCTGGGGATTTGGGAGTATTTCCCTATGACTTGAGGAAAGGGAGAAGACTGATGAATTTACTGCACAAAAACTAAAAACAAAACGCACTGAAAAACATTATGCTTGGTAAAAAACAAAACAAAACAGACTCCCCAAAACCCAAAAAACCAAACATAAACAAAGTAAAAAAGACAAAACAGAAATGAGGAAAAATATCTGCAACTTCCATCACAAACAGAAGGCTCTAATCAATATACGAACCGCTTCTAGAAGAAAACCTGAAGTTTTAAAAATGGGCAAAAGATACAAACACATAAAAATTACAGAGTAAGAAATACGAGTAACACTTAAACATACAAAAGGTGCTCGGTTGTGCTCGTGACAGAGGACGTGCACGTGACCATGCTGAGGCTCCTCTGGCCTCCTGAGCACGCAGAGCCACTCTGCGGCCACGGCGTAGGCAGGGACGCACGCGCGCGAGCCCCTGGGGCAGCAGAGTGGATCCAGCAGGAGTGGAGGGAAGCTCACTCTCTAACCAGCAACCCCAAAGAAACGGAAAGTGTCATACACATATGGCTGTCCTGTGACAGCAAGAGCAGAGCCCAGCACCGTCCGCAGCCCCCAGCAGAGCGTGGTGCGGTGTGGCCGTGAGCTGGGACCACCTCGCATGCCGTGGCCCTATCCACGCACAGAATGGAGCCCCGAGCAGGCTGCCTTGTGTCACCAGGGGGATACGGATGCACGCCTTTACACACACACGTATTTGCTGTGTATTCCAAGGTCCAACGGCAAGGCTAAACCAAAGCCCATGCTTACCTAAGGGAAAGGCATCTTTGATCATACCCTATTTCGGCTTTGAAATAAGTGGTCTGAACATACCCTATTTTGGCTTTGAAGTAAGTGGTTTCTTTACGTAACCAAAAAAAAAAAAAAAAAATTAAATCTACAACAAAACCACATTCTTTAAAAAAAGCCTGTAAGTAATTCAGAAGCTTATAATTTTAATTTACCAGTATCTGCTCTAAATTTTTCTTCCATCTTTTTCTTCAGAATTTCCATTTCTTCTAATAATTCTCTATTTTTGGCTTCGGAATCCTTTAGTTTACTAAAACAAAAAATAAAAAATAAACGGCTTTAAGCACACTGAGAACAGGTCATCCACACGCTGACTCAGCTAGTGTCAGGATGTGAGGGCAGGGGCTCATCTCCAGTGGCTAGGAAAGTGCCAGAACACCGCAGGCTCCCCACTGAATGGACGTGCAGACCCGCTCTTGGCCTGGGCGAGCCTACTGGGCATGTTATGGAGAGTACGACACTTCTGAATCATAAACAGACATGGATTTTAAAAATCATGGTTAATGCAGGTATATCTCAAGGCTGCCATGCAGTTTCTGACACTCCTACTCTCTTTCTGGAGGAGTCCTTTGCCCTCTGAGGACATACAACCTCTGAATGTCTTTCCCATAGCTGGCAAGATGGTGGGCTGCCCCTGAGACCATGACCACTGCCCGAGCACCAGGGCTCTTGGGGCTCCCACGCGGTCATCCAGCCATAGTCAGGCCGCGGCAGTTCACATCTGGCCCGCAGCCGAGCAGGGGCTTCTGTGCTGAACTAGCCGGGGCGCTGGCTGGCCCACCGCGCCTCTGCCTGTCTCACCATCTGTGAAATGTGGCTGCAGGACGGCCAGGAGGGTCACATCATTAACAGAATAAAACTCTTACGGGAGCATATTCAAATGGCAGCCATTATTACTCTTTTAGCCCAAACCAAGGAAATGTGTGACTCTGTAATCCTGTCAGTGATGCCCTTGCTGACACCCAGGTCCCCGGCCCTCAGGAGGGGCTTGTGCCACTCCGAGCAGGGAGGCCCGGTTTCTACGAAGCAGCGCGCTAGTGGTTACTGCGTCCTGAGCGTGCCAGGCCGTATCTGCAGACGGCGGCCTCTCGTCCCGTCCCGGCTGGATTTACTGTTGTGTATGAAGGCTGTTCCTAAGACTGCATGAAGTCGGAAAAGTGTTTTCAAATGGGGACACCATCTCCAACCTGTATTTTAAAGTTTTAGGTTAAAAGGAAAAACTTGAAGCTGATGAACGGAACGGCACTGCGGGGCACAAGAAGCCCAGAGCGGCCGCGTCCTGTCGCCCGGCACGGGGAAGACAAGCCCAGCCCTCGACACGCACAGACACACAGAACTATGGACTCACCACTCGCACTGCTCCCCGGAAACCCGAGCGGAACCCTCCAGCAGGAGGTGAAGGGCATTGGCACCGTCGCCCAGCCCGTTCTTCCTGAGCACCTACCAGGTGCCCGAGACGACCCCCTGCTCAGAGCTCCTCCCGTCGGCTGCTGCCCAAGGTCACACGGCCCCCTGCATGGTCGGACCACAGGACCAGGTACCTTTCAAAGGACAGATTCGTGTCTTTGACTTTCCTCAACTCCTCCTGAACCAGCTGCTTGGCCCGGATCTCTGCCTCGAGGGCGGACTGCAGCTCCAGCCGCGCCGACATGTCCAGCTTCTGACTCCGGCGGACTTTCCAAAGGGGATCCTGCAGATGCAACGGCGCAGGCGCGTCGTTAAGCTATTTATCTGTTGAACAAAATGCTGGCAAACACGTTCTTTTCTCTAAAACTTGTATTATCACATTTAATAATGAGTTAATTTAAACATTAACTTGATACTACCAGATATTATCAAAGTCCATACGACCCGATTTCAGTTCGGGCATTTTGTGACGTTTATTCTCACTTAGAGATCTTCTAAAGAACGAGCTGTACCTTTTCTTATTTTTTAAAAGAATAAAACTGAAACCCTAGTGCAACTTCTACTTAAGCTCACCAGACTCTCTCATGCGCCAAGATCTATCGTGAGATCTCAGCGGCCTTACTGTTCCTTCATCCTGAGATATTCTGCTGTTTCGCTCAGAGACTGTCCGTACGCATCTGTTAGTCCTGCCCAGGATGAAGGACCACAGTAATAGGGAAGGAGGAAGGACGGAGTAACTGTGAACAGAACCAGCCTGATGCCAGGGTCCTGTTCCTGCCGAGCCCGGTGTGGTCCGACCACTTTCAAGAGGGCTCGAAGTCTGGGGATGCCACTTTCATAGACCTTTTTAAAGTATTCCCTAAACACCGGGTTTTTCGTTTTCTACGCACAGAGTAAGGAGAAGATAACCCGGTGTGGGGGCGCAGCGATGGGGACAGGTGCTTCAGCTGGATGCTAACACTAACGACTGCGCTGAAATCTGGCAAAGGAGAGAAAACTCAGCGAGTCTTCCGATGCCTGAGTCCCACACGGATTTCCTCAATCAATAGGTGAAAACACACTTCTCGGGACAGAAAGGAAAGACACTTTCATCCAGCGAGCCTCCGATTCTAGTCTTCTGCAACAAGAATCTCATCAGCCACTTTTGCTAAATGCACCTACGACCGCCTTCTCTCATCTTCTAGACGGTTTGTGCACTCGGTATATCTCCGCGAGGGCAGCGGCCTGTCCTGCTGAGGCTCCCCCCACCCCAGAGCCTGGAGCTGGGTGATTACTTGCTGCGAGAGTGCGCTCTCGGGAGAGCCTGTGATCTCCAGGTAACTCACAGACCCTGAGCTCCTCATGCCAGGGCTTTCACTGGCCACATGAAGTCCCATGTGCCTGGTGTGACCCGCCTGGCACAAGATGCACTCACGCTTGGCAGAAAGCCATTAGTGAAGTCCGTTGCCATAGAAATGCAGAGTTCAGAAGGAGGCCTACCAGTGCTCTGGACCCCAGACTGGAGCTCCTCAGGGCCTCGAGCTCTTCGGTCATCTTGGAGGCAAGAGCCTGAAGATAACCTCGGGCATCTTTCTCATCGCTGACCCTAGAGGAGGATCACACCCTGTGAGCAAGAGGAGCCAAAAACGAGACCAGGCTCCTGCCTCCCACAGGAGAGAGTGACACTGTGTCCTATCAGGCGGAACAGGCGCCCACGACGGACGAATGCCTCTGCCGGCAAGGGCTGGCCCAGGCTCTTTCTGCTGTGCTGGGCGGAGGCCCGGCCTCCCGCTCCCCAAACCCGGGGGGCGTGCAAAGCCTGACCCGCACCGTCAGTCACTTGGGGCGGTTTCTCCACTTTTGGTCCAATTGCCTATCGCCACACAGAACTGTGGCCCCCAGACGTTAGCGATTTAAGGAAGAGCAGCAAGGTCTGTGCTGAGAAAGCGCATCGGCCAGGAGAGCCCGACGGGCACAGGCACGTACCACTGTATGATCTCTGCAATCTGGGCTTCCCAGTGGGCCACCGACTCCTTCTTGGCCGCCAGATCCCGCAGCTCGTCCTCTAGCTGTCTATTTTGCGCTGTGAGTTTATCCACAAAGGAACAAAGCTGAAATTAAACAATCATACCGCACAACTTACTATTGGTGCCTTTTAACTTTTAAACTTTTTTTTTTTTTTTAATTTTAAACTTTTGTATGCTCTGGGAATCTCTGTGGGAAGCTAGAAGCTAACCCGGCACCCTTCAAAGATGACGCTGGTGTTATTATAGCCCAAGTTCTCCTGAAGAGCCTGAAAGCGTTCCTCGTTACAAAATACTGTCCCGACTTGGTTTTCAATGTAGGCTTTTTGAGGGCATCTAACTTTGTACATCTCAATGCAGATCTCAGCACACGAAGGGTAAGAGCTGGTGGTCTGGGGTAATCAGCAGCTGTTAACCCAGTGAAACACCCAGTTCAGAAGACCGAGCCCATGATGCCCATAAGCACTAGGCTCCGGGACCCAAAACCGAGGACATGGCAGCCATGCGCAGGGAGGCAGATTACCCTCTCGTTCTCAGCCGTGAGCTTCTTGTTCTCCTCCAGCAGCAAGGCTCTCTCGCGCTCGTACTTATCTCTTACTGTGCCTACCGCCTCCTCCATTTCTGTGTGCCTGGGAAGGTACGAGAGAGAGAGAGGGAGAGAGAGAGAGAGAGAGGAGTTAAGATGCCCGTGAGGCAGCCCCCCCCGGGGGGCAGGCACACCAGCCTGCACCCACGATACTGCAGAGTGCATGGACACGTACCGCTCTCGCTTGGACTTCTCCAATTTGTCTTTTAACACGAGAACTTCCTTCTGCAGGGCCAGCTGGTGGCTCTCCGAATCGTGCACCTCCTTCTTCACGTTTTTGACCTCCAGCACATGGGAGGCCTCACGCCTGACCAACTCCTCTTCATAAAACAGGACTTTCTTCTCGAGCTCAGATTTGATTTTGGAAATCTCCTGCTGGTGTTCTAAGGTGGCACCTGGTCCCCGGCCTCCTTGCTTCATCTGAAGATAAAGGTGAAATAAAGTAAATTACAGAGCTCTGTGTCCTCCTGAGGGCCACATGGCCCATCACCCGCCCACCCAGTGACAGGCACTGCACCTGATGCATCTGGCCCCAGGGGCTGACAGGACCTGCCCTGCTGAAGGGACGTGCTCAGATCTGCCCAGGACCCCAGAAGCTCTGTCTCTACACCCTGACACGAATGGTCTTCAAAGCTTCCTCCCACTGCTTGTTCATCATGCAACACTATTCCTTTGAGGGCCGACTACGTGTCAGACGCCTCCATGGTAACCGGGTTGCACCGAGCTCTCTGCTCTTGCGGGGCAGAGGGGAGAGCCCAACAACAAACCAGTAACTAAGCAACGAGATGCTAACATCAGGCAGCTAACACGAGGCAGTGGGATGAAGAATGGGGGTGGCACAAAGCAGACAACCAGGGAAGACGGCACGGACACAAGAAGCCCCGTGTCAGATGACGGGCAGCGAGTCAGGCGCTGAGCTGGGAGTGAGCCATATGCACAACAGGAGGGCGTCAGGGGGGCTGCGGTCAGCAGGAAGGGAAGTGCCAGGAGGGGCGCCCTCAGGGTAGAGTCACTCTGAAAGTGACTGCTGGGCACTGAAGACAGGGTGCGCTCTGGCTGCCACGTGGAGCACAGATTGTCACTCTGGATAGCAACAAGCACTCGGGCACAAGGGAGCAGAAGTCGAGGCCCACAGGGCAGCAAGGACGATGGAGAAAAACAGGCACCTCTGAGATGTGTACCGGGGGAGAGGGGAGCCCACCGTCTCTACTTCACAGACAAGGAAACCAAGGCTCAGAATGGGGACTTGCACACTCGAGAGCACACTAGGCTAACAGTGAAAACTGCCAGGTCCTCACCCGTTCCCTCTGCTAGTGCCTTTCTTTTTTTCTTTAATATTTTATTTATTTATTTAACAGAGATTACAAGCAGGCAGAGAGAGAGGGGGAAGCAGGCTCCCTGCTGAGCAGAGAACCCGATGTGAGGCTTGATCCCAGGACCCTGAGATCATGAGCCGAAGGCAGCGGCTTAATCCACTGAGCCACCCAGGCGCCCCACAAGTGCTTTTCTACTCGCTCCCTCCTTCCCTCCCTCCCGAGGTGCCACCAGCCTGCCTCTTCAACTTCAGCAGCAGGATGTGGGCTTTTCCAGAAAAGGACTCCACTAAATTTAAAAGCACGAGATAAGGAAGCCTGGTTAAGCGTCTGCCTTGGGCTCAGGTCATGATCCCAGGGTCCTGGGACTGAGCCCCGTGTGGGGCTCAGTGCCCAGTGGGGAGCCTGCTTCTCCCTCCTCCTCTGTCCCACCCCCTCCCCCTCCTTGTGCCCAAGCCTCAGCACGTTCTCTCTCTCTCTCAAATACATAAAATCTTAATTAAAAAAATTTTCAAGACAAATGGCAGGTATCAGGTGTTAGTTTATCAGGGCTTCCTATAAATCGCTTGAGACTTTTTATAGAAAGAAAAGAAATGGAGGAACTTGGGTTTTAAAAGTGAAAAGCTGCCATAATGGCATGTTCTCCATGACCCGTGTTGTGTCCGCGACCGCCCCCCACCCGCCGCAAGTCCGCCACGACCGTTGGTGAGGGGCACAGTCTGGCCCCCGGCAGGCACTACCTTGAGGGCCTCGAGCTCACTCTCCACTTGCTTGGAGAAGTTCTCGCTGTGCTCACGGAGCTTGCGCTCCCTGGAGGCCTCGGCAACCGCGTCCTCCAGCCGCGCTTCCAGCTGCAAGAGGAACGCCCGCGGCTTACTGGCATATAGTCGGTCCCCCGACAGGGGCCCTCAGCCAGCGCAGTCCCTAGGGCCTCAGGATCCTCCCCTCCTCGTCAGACTTCATCCCCAGACGAGGGCTGAGAAACACATTCGAGACTTAACTGGAGCGGCTGGTCAGTAATAAACAAGCTTAAATTCTAATGTAAATCAGAAACTTGGCATTCGATTTCAAGAAAGGATGCTGAGTGGTGACACAAGTACTTGGATGTCTGGAGAACAGGAAGGCATCTACCCAGCGACAGACGTCACGCACGCGTGGGGTGGGGGGCGCAGTGGAAGGACTGGGCCTTGGAGTCGCCCCATCACCACCCGCAGCACCTCCTGCGGGGCGGGGCCGGTAGCGCTCAGCTGGGGGGAACCTGCCCATCTGCAGCTCCCGCTGCAACTACGAACTTATCTGGGTTGTGAACTAACCCGAGAAGAAAACAAAGATGCTCTCTGAGACCCAGCGACTAAGCGCAAAAAGGCCCTTCTTTTCCTAATTACCTGGGTTTTCTTCAAGTACTTTATCCAAAACAGTGTAACACGGTGGACCCAATGCAGAAACAGGTATGACGCCCTACGTGTTTACTAAGGCAGTTATCAAAGAAAAGCAAGAAAACGTAAGATTGCCCCTCCTCTCGCCACACGGGGGAGGCAGTTAGTTTTCATAAAAGATGTTACCGATGTTAACACGCAATGGGTTTAGTGTTAAATTGAAGACAGTGTCTTAATCTCTAACACGTAGACACGAAGGGCTGTAACCGACACAAACAAAAGCTTTCTGGGGGTCTCGACAATGTCGAAGAGCAAACAGCCATCCGGAAAGCAGTTTCCGAGCCGCTGGGCTGACGTGCGCTGCGCCCGGTGGCGCCCGGTCCTCCTGCGCCTCCCCACCCCCCACGGACGTGTGGCTCACGCACACGTACGTACACTGTGCTGTACTGATCGCTCACGCTATGTTTCAGTTACACCTGTTAGTTCGCTTTCAAACGGAATTTTTAAAAATCAGCACCCTAAGACATCTCTTAGTGATTTCACAAACACATAGGGAGACCTGAGAAACACAAAATAAAAACCTGGCAGGCCAATTTGATTTCGCCTAAAAGTTAAGATTTTTAAGTAATTTGTGTAATTCAGCCCAAGATCTCAAGATGTTTTATGAAGATGGTAAAAAGGTCCAAACGGTACAATCCCTGAAACAGCCGGAAAGCTACCTCCTTCCTGAGCTTCTCGGACTTGCGCATCTCCTGCCGCATGGAGTCCATCTTCTGCATGGCCGCCTCCACCTCCTCCTCTTTGTCTCGGAGCTGCCGGGACACCTTCTGCTTCTGGGAGCGGAGCTCGGCCATGCGCTCGTTGAGCTCCGAGAACTCCTGCAAGGCCAGCTTTCGCTGCTGGTGGGCGTCTTTGAGTTCTCTGGCCTGGGATTTCAATCGCTCCGAAGCCTCCACCAATTGCTGAACAGAAAAAACAAGAGATGTTTCACATTTGCTTGACCAAGACGTGGAAGGCCGGAAGCTCAGTGATCCCCGGTGATGCCAGCTGCAGACCACGGCCAAGATCCAAGAGCTCACCTTCTTGGAAAAAGCCCTTTGCTCAGCCCCAGCACAGCCAAGAGCTGTCTGGAAGCAGCCCTCCTGAGCTGAAGCGCTAAGCATCATCCTCCCTAAGGGGAAGATGCCCCACGCCACAGCGACCCGCAGCCCAAGCCCACAACTTGCAAAACCATTCACGCCTCTCCCACATCAGATCACTCCCTTGACTACCTTGTGAAAATCCTCCTTCTCCTGCCGCACCACACGGTACTGCTTTTCCAGGCCTTTCAGCCGATGCGTGGAGTCCTCATGCTCTTGGCGAAGGGTCACCGTGTCCTCCAGCTGTCGCTCGAGCCTGTTTGAATCTGAGCAAAAGAGAAAACCAACCATCCTGAGAGCACATGACTTAGTAACTCCTCATGCTCTCGATCATCCAGGAGCTTTCTGACTTTCTCACACACACCGGTTTGGAGACGGGTCACCTGCCGGGCTGACCCTGTGTGTCAGGTGGAGGGCTGAGACTCAGAAGGGACTTGAGTCTTTAGGAAGCTCTGATAATCGAGGAACCACAGAAGACTGGGGCAGGGGGGCTGGCCCAGCACCTAAACTACAGAGGAAAGCAGGTCACTGAGGAAAGCCTCAGGAAGAAATCAGCTGTGGCAATTCTGTCTCAGGGCTACAAAGAGGGGAATTAAGACTGAGAAATGTAAAACGTTCTGAGAGCCTGTGGATGAAAGACTAGAGACGCATTCTGGCTTCAACTACAAAATCCTATTATTTGAGCTGTGCCGAGGTGGAAAATCCTCTCCAGTGAGCTGACAAAACAGACATTTAAACAGGTTCACCGAAGCCGGAGTTTTTTCCCTCCTTCTCTGCCTCACGAAAAGGACCAAACGTTCTCTAAAGGGAGGATGGCCCGAGACACAGACCACCCACCTGCTATTTTACTCTTCAGACGCTCGATCTCTTCGTTGAGCTTTTTGATTTCCTTCTCCCGCGCCGAGCCGCCCAGCGCCCGCGTGGAGCCGTGCAGGGACTGCACCGTCTGCGTGGACTCTGGGGGAGGGACACGGGCCGTGAGGGCCGGCTGGCTCCCAGGGCGGCCGGCCGAGGCTGCGGAGGGCCGGGCTCTGCCCTCACCTTGCAGCTTCCTGCTCAGCTCCAGCTTCTCCTGCTCCAGCCTCCGAATGCGCCGCTCATAGGCCTCCACCTGCAGGCTGTTCTCTAGGTCCCGCTGTACGCCCTCGTCTCTGGTCAGGGTGCTGGACTGCATGATGCTCTTCAGAGAGCCGCGGTCAGAGAAACAGCTGCAAGGAAAGCCACGGGGTTTTCTCATCTGAGAAGTCATGGTGAGCTCGTCGGCGTTCTACAGCTTCCTGGGGTCAAACACTCGTCTTCCAGGCAGGCCACCAAAACCGCCTGCGAGAAGACTAGTGTTTAAGGAGCCAGAATTTAGCCCAGGGCCCTCGTTAGGGCTAACGGTTGGACGATAGGGGGTGACCGACAAGGATGTGCCCTCCGCAGGGGTCAGAGAACGAAACCCCTATGGCACCGCTTCTGCTCAGCCAGAATGCGACAGAAGCCAGTGTCCTGCGGGCACCTGGGCGTGGGGGCCTGGTGCAGGCCATGGGGACGGCCCTGGACACCCAGGCCCCCGAAGGCTTTCTCCTCCTCCTGCCACTGACTGGCCGGGGAGTTCTGGGGACGGGCCGCTCCACCTCCAGGGCCCATCCTCCCCAACAGACTGAACCTGCAGGGCTCTCTTCTCCCGCACGGTGGGCAGCCCAGCTACCCACCGGCGATGGGCCCAGAGCGCACGCCACATGCGCAGATTAAAGCCCGTGGCACTGCTCTCACTCAGAGCTTAATTCTCGAGCTGGTTCACGAGTTTAGTTCTCTTGCTTTTAACGTGACAATGATGCCAGGGGGACTCCTCTGAGTCCTGCTATACAGAGGGCGGCACAGTCACCAGCACACACACGCTTACGGGAAGGGCCGGGCCAGGGTCTCTCAAAGGTGGCCTGAGAATGCTGCGCTCGCCAGCACCCTGGGCTCGGTTCCGGGAGGAGGGCCCTGGGCCCGACCTGCCAAACGCCGGTGGGCCCAGAACCCCCGGGTTTCCCAAGTGCCCATGGAGCGAGAACAGGTCAGGAAACAGGGAAGCCCCGCACCAGGGATTAAGAGGTCGCTAGGCCTATGGCACCTCAGGCCACTTCGTGGGGACTACAGGGCATCCGCTGTCATTCTGGCTCCTCACCCCAAGGGGGTGTCTAAGAGCTCAAGCAGAAACAAGCCCTCCTGAAGGAATTCTCATCAATCTGGCTACGAGCTGCTAGCAGGTGCCAGGAGTCAGGCTGTGCTGCCCTCCGTCAGGAGCCGTGGGGCTCCGTCTGCTCCACGTGGCCTGCCTGTCCTCCGGCCCCGTTTCCTCTGAAAGCCGGTGAGAGCCTGGCAAAGAGGCCCATGTGGGACAGAGGCTAATAGGTACAGTCACCTCATGCTCAGGGCCCGGAGCAACACACGGGGCTTCTGCTCCTGCCCTCCAGTTTCTCCCGCATCTGCGACCGCGCTCCGGCCCGCAGTGGAAGCTACAGAGCTGCGACTAAAATCCGCACAAAAGCTGGCACGACCGGGACAGGGGGCCACCGGCCACGGCCAGGAACAAATCTCGCCAAAGCTGACAGGCTGTAAGTCAGAAGTCAGCCAATTACCTCCCATGAGCCAAGGATGGGTTTCTCATTTTCGGAGGTTTTGTTAACAAGTAAGACTATATAACCGAGACCACCCTCTGTGGAAGAAGTCTGCCGAGCCTGAGACATGTCACCATGTGTAGTCACCAGGGGGCCCTTCTAAAGGACAGGCCCGTCCATGCTCCATGAGCACGGTCCCCCCAGCGATGTCGCAGGCACACACCCGTCCAGGAGCAGCCCCCAGACTGCGCACTGAGCCCGAGGGGAGGCTCTGCCTGGGGAACAACACAGCGAGACCCACCTTTCCGTTGTGAACGTAAAACCGATGAAGGGCAAGTGCAGCCCAGAGAAGCCCGTGTGAGAACCCGGAGGCAGTATTTCCTGCAGAAGAACACACGACAGAGTGAAATCCGTGTTCCAACAAAGGGAAAGGAGAAGGAAAGAACGGTACTCATTGGTGAGATCAGGGGTGCGTGAGAGAGAATGGCCTTCTGGGACACAGAGGACACAGTTCCCCGCCAGGGAGCACAGCCCGGCAGACTGTGGTCCTCAGGCCTGGCTGCGCCTGCTGCACACACAACGCACTGAGAGGACAGACACGCTGCTTCAGGTGAGGATGGCGTCACAGGACACCTGCACCACATCTGCCCCCGCTCCATGTGGCCTCCAGCAGAGGCATGCAGACAGGGCACAGACACAGCCCCCGGAGGGCGCAGGGCAGAGGCTGGGGCGTCCAGGTTATCAGCAGCAACAGAGGCCAAAGGCAGAAGGGAGGCCTGGAAGCCAAGCTAGGGTATTTTAGGTAAATATATGACCTACTCTATTTTTCAGTTTCAGGATCCTCCTTTATCAAATGTGAAACCGAAGTTACAATTCATCTGGGAAATGTCAGTGTGGAAGTAGTTTCTTTGGAGTCTAGGAAAACCCTTCCCACAGTGACACTACTTTTCTCTGTGTGGTCTATAGATAAGGGCTTATTTGAGTAAGAGGAATTCTCTAGGGAGCCATCAAGAAGATCCTTCCTCTACCTGGTTGAACCCCAGTAACTCTATCCCCAAACCAGGTCACACGTACAGACTGAAGAAGGTTGGGTTCAGCCTCGGAGCAAAACTCTCGGGAGCTAAAGGTGACGACTCATGTACCAGAGGCCCGGTTGGACCAGCCACAAACTGCGCGGCCCCAGAGCCAGGACCCAATCTGGAGGACCCACAACATTGGTGGGAGGACTCAGAACACACACATGGTCACTGCTGCTCCCAAAACCCCTGCCAGACGAACACCAGTGAGCACAGGCACACCTCGGAGAAATTTCGGGTTCGGTTCCGGACCACCAGAGAGGGAGTTTCACAACAAAGTGAGTCAACTGTATTGTTCAGTTTCCCGCGCATGTGAAAGCTGCGATCACACCACCGGGTGGTCTGTTAAATGTGTGACAGTGTATCCCATCAGGATAAAGCAAACCCCTTAATTTAAAACTACTCTAGTGCTACTAAACAGTGACCGTCACCTGAGCTCTCGGCAAGTCGCAAGCCTTGATCACAGATCACCTAACAATACAGAATTGTTACAATACAGTAAGAACGAAAAGGTCTGAGACATGGCAAGAGCCAGCAGAATGTGACCCAGAGACACGAAGTGAGCAAATGTGGTCGGAATAATGGTGCCGCAGCCGTGCTGGAGGCAGGGGTGCCACGAACCTTCTGTCTGTAAAAACAGTATCTGCAAAGCACAGAAAAATGAGGTGAGCCTGTGACCCTTACATTCTCAAAGGGACATTAAGGACCAAGCTGAAGGTTGGAATAAAAGGTGCGTTTCTTGAAACAGCTACCAGATTTTTAAAAAACCAACACAGTCCAAAGATGTATCATACTGGAGAGCAACCCCGGACACACACTGCCAAGACCTGGACCCACAGGGCCGCCACGTTGGGACGAGACTGCATCGACATCGACACTTACGATGTTTCTCAGCACGTCATCATCCACGTCGAAGTTGGAAGTGTCAGAAGGACTGCTCACGTCAGGAATATAAGGGGCCTCCAGGTTCCGTATGTTCTCCCAATTCAGACCTTCAAAGAACGCGTGCTTCTTGAAGTCCTCTATCCCATTCTGGCCCAGCCGGCGCTCCCTGCTGCAGATGAGTCTCTGAATGAGGTCTTTGGCTTCTTCAGACACGTCGGTGACGTGGGATGGAAACTGAAATCGCTCCTGGGGGTGGGGGGACATGGGATGAAAACACATTCAGAAAAATCGAAGGTGTACAGATGCTACAGGAGACAAGAGAGGCAACCGCTCCAAAGCAACAGTCCTAATTCCACGGTGACTGCAAATTCCACGGTAAAATGCGAGCCACGGCTAACAAAACTGAATTCCAGAAAGGCAAACGAGAAAATCACTAGTCCTGCTTCTGCGCAGTGGATGTGGTAGCACATGCCACGTAAATGACGAGGGACTGGTTCGTCACCCATCAAAGCGGCCAAGGACGCAGACTGTGCTGCGGTGGGACAGGCCCACAGGGCTCTGCAGAGGGCGTTTTGCCAGCAGCTATGGCAGACCCCCTCCGAAAACCGTGTTCTCCGGAAACAGTCACGAAGAGAACACCCACCATGTTCGCACGGCACAATATTCTGACCCTGTAAACTGCAAATTACCTACATGCCCAAAAGGGGACTTGTTAAAAAAAAAAACAACAGGGCACACACACGCCAACAGAATGGTCTGTTTCTATGCACTGGACAGACAGATGACAAAAACACACAGACAAAACCACCCGGTTCTATGTGATGTGAGGCCGTTCATCCCAGCACCCCCCAACTCCTCGGCGCAGGACCGCCTCTGTGATCTGGAACCAGGGACGGCAGCACCACGTCCCGGGGTGGCGGTGAGGCTCAGGGGAGAGCACACAGTGAGCCGGGCCGGGCCCCACCGGGAGTGCGCGGGACCAGCAGGCTCCGTAGCACTCCTGGAGCCCAGCCCGCAGCTTCACAGCGCTTATTGCCGAGAAGGGGTGGGGTGATTCCCACCATCTACACTCTGCCCCTCTGTGTTGTCCGACGTTTTTACTAATACTAACTATGTAGTAATTTATACAAAAAGACATTTATTTCTACTTTGGGAAAAGTCTTTTTTACAAGTACGGACTGCTCTGGTCTGGAGTTAAACGGAAGACCACCCACCACTTCCGTGTGCACCTGCTCCCCGCACGAGCCGTTAGTGAGGGGCGGGGCTGAGGACAGGTCAGCGCTGGGGTCGCCCTTGGGGAGGCGGGAGGACACCAAGAGCACCATGGTGGAGCGGGGAGCGGCCTAGGGAAGGCCTCCGTGACTGTGGGGGGCAGACGCCAGGAGCATGAGGAGGAAGAGTAAGTGGTAAAGCAAATGAGAAACGGGAAGCGAGGCAGAGGGGAGGCAAGGTCGGGGTGGGAAACGCACAGCCGGGAAAGGGAACAGGAACAGGATCCAGGAGGCAGAAGGATGCCGCTGTGGGGAGGCGCGTGGCGCCGTCACATCCGCCGGTGAAGCCAGCCCCTCCCTCGACGTGCCCGGTGGCTCCTCGGCCCCTGCCATCCTGAGGCTGTGCCCGCTCCGCATGCTCCTCCTGGGCCCGGAGCCAGCGGCTCTCCTCCCCTCATGCCCACACCTCCCTTGCCAGCCGTGGGTGTGGACTCTACTGCCCACTCTCTCCGTTCCTGCCTGGCGGCCAGCGGCCTGCTCCAGCCCTGTCACCTCTTCCCCAAAGATGCTCACAGCTTCCAAGCAGCCCTCCCACCTCCGGGCCTGCACCTCAGGACTGGAACCAATGGGACATGGGAATGCTGTGTCTTACCTCGTGGTTCATGATCTTTCCATAGGTCTCCACGAGCGACTCTGCGTAGAAGGGCGTTTCTCCGTACAGCATCTCGTACATGCAGACGCCCAGCGACCACCAGTCACACTCGGGGCCGTACTTGCCCATGCCGTCCTCCATCGCCTGCAGGATCTCGGGCGAGATGTAGTCAGGAGTGCCCACGGCCACAGAGGACTGGACCTTAGGGGGGAGGGTGGTGTTGGAAGGGAAACCCCAGGGCAGCTCTCATGCCACATTCCTAACTACCTTCTCTAAAATAGGGACGACAAATAAGGAAACCATCATGAGATAAAAGTGGCCCATGATCATGATTAGAAACTGTAATTCAAAATTCAACGCACGTAACTGTTCTCCTGAGGCACTACGCCCTGGGCAGTTTCCAGAACGCACAACACTCTCACACCTGGTCTCTCTGGGCCCAAAGGCCCACCTCAGCCCCCAAATGGCACTGCAGTCCCTCAAGGGGTGGCACGTCCACAGGCTCCGTCACGGCCCAAGGTGGGGTCCTGTGGCCACGTGTGTTCAGGCCACCTAGGTTCTTGCAGAACGAATCCTAGGGTGGGGCCCAGACACGCATTTCCAGGACACTCCCAGGGATGCGAAGGCGGCTCACCCAGAGGCTACGCCAGCCTCCCAAAGGGACCATCAGGAAGGGGCGCAGGCACTACGTCAGTGCTCAGGAACTCCCGGGTGGGGAAACAGGAGGCTAAGGGCCCTATGGGGAAAGAATATTCCCTCGGCTACCGACATTAGCAGAACAGGCCTGTGACCTCTCTCCTGAAATCTCTGGCCCGAGAGGGCAGCAGTCATCACAGAGAAAGTGAGAGGAAGCCAGTCAGCTGAGAATCAGACTGGTCTCGGAGGACGCAGAGAACAGAGTCCACAAGACTGAGGGAGAAACCATCACAGAAGGCCTGACTCTCCCCTGGTTACGTCTGAAGAGAGGGCCGTGGGGTGAAGCCGCACCCCGGGTCAGACCGAATCAGCCGGGAGGGCTGTCTCTGTCACGTGACCAGATCACGGCTGGGCAGCGCGGCCGCAGCTCCGAGGCGGGCAGGGGAAGACGGGGGCATGAGGTGGCGGCACGGGATGCGCGGCCACGCGTGCAGGGGAGAAAGCTAAGTCGCGCACTAGCTCAGTCAGAGGCCGCCGTTCGGTCCGTCAGAAGACTGGATTTGAGGACAGCACCCACCTATCAACTCTTTGAGACGCAGAGAAATGAGAGACTGGCTTGTTGGAAAGAGAAAAGTCTAGCATCAAGGACCCCTGCTTCTGGATCTGCAACACCCACAGAAGAGAAAAGCCCTCACGGACGGGAAGTTAGCGGCCCAGACAGAACGAGGAGGGTAGTTACAGCGAACGTCTGTGCGCCTCAGCGTCCCGCACAGGGCGTTCTGAGAAGGGACGCAAGCACCGCCTGCCGTCCACTGCAGCCCTGACGTGACTTGAGCCGTCTAGCCACGTGCGGAAACCCCACAACCTCCGGCTGAGAAGACACATGCGTGACTTTCGTAAACACAGAAAGCAAAAAAGAGCTTTCAAACTTAAGTAGAACATTACAACTGTCTCCTTGACAGATTTATCTTTTTAATTTACATTCATAAACTTGCTTTCTTAACTGGATCTCAAATCACAATTTTAAGCCCCTTCTAATTACAAGCAAAACCCCAAGTCAAATGGAAAATCTTCAACAAAATACCTACAGTTCCATCGTCATTCATCTTCAAGCATGATCCAAAGTCAGCCAGGCGGATATGACCATTCACGTCCAAAAGGACATTGTCAGGTTTGATGTCTCTGTTAGTGAAATAAATAAACGAGTTCACCATTTCCACGCTGTGCATTTGGGAGGTCAAGCCCTTACCTTGCAGTGTATCAGTGACAATCTTGGGAGAATGTCTCCCATGCACTTTACGTGGGTATGCGGCGGTGCTCACTGGTGCAGTGTCCCCGGTCCGTCGGGTGACACGCCACTCCTGTTCCCACCACACAGCCGACAAGGTCTCCTGAGCGTCTCCTTTGTGCCAGGCGCCGTGCTCGACTCCAGGTCTATGACAGTGACAGATCCCACAGCCCCTGCCTTCACGAAGCCTCCCCCTGGCTGAGGTGGCAGGAAACGAGCCCGGGAGCACAACACGCAGGGTAAGTGCTGTGAGGAAATGCGAGGAAGTAAAAAATGCAGCCGAGGCTGGCCGGGCAGAGCCTGGATGAGAGCAGGAGGCAGGTGAAGCTCTGGGGCAGGAGCCCAGCAGACCGCGGGCGTGCAGCACACCCCACGCTGGATGTGACGGATGATGACCTGGGGGCCAAAGACCAGTGAGCAGCAGCAAGTGCACGGCAGCAAGGGAAGCCCGTGGTTGCACCCGCTGTTCTAGGTCCTGGCAAACATGGGCCCCGTAGGGACTGGGGTTCTAAAGCACAAACCCTCCCTCCTGGCAAAATAAGCGAACGACAGGCTGGCGGGCGCGCAGTGGGAGCGCAGGTGTGCCGGCACGGTGTGACGCCTCCGGGAAAGCAGACATGCACCCAGCTGCTCCCAACATCGGGGACGAGTCCCACAAAGTAAGCATAAGGAGACATTTCTTACCCACAGGAAGACCCACATAGCAAAAGAAAGCTAGCACAGCACTCCGAACTGACAACACACAGGGAGAGAAAACAAAGCCTCAACCGGTCAGGAACATACAAACTAAGAGCAGAACCAGACAAAACAGGGTAGAAATGAAGAGAGCTGATTTAACTCAGGAAGAACCAGAAGAAAAAGACAAAAATCATCTCAGAAATAGTGACTTGATTATAGGTACCCAAAGGAGAACAAATTAAAGATCTGATAAAAGGCAGTGAAGCAAGGGAGGGAAAGACCTAGAAGAACAAGAAGTGAGACGAAGCAGAGAGAAGGGTCAGAGAGAGAAGAGTTGGAGTGAAGCAGAAGACAGGCTAAGAAGACCCAGAACACAGACCGTGGGAGTCCCCAAAGAAACCGAAACAGTGAAACATAACTAATACCTGAAAACACAGAAGTAAAAAAAGGACCTGAACTGACAAACTGAGGGGCTCATCAGTGAACACTTTCCAATGTCCTGTTTTTTTGGAGCCAGAGAAGTCAATACTGAAGGTCACAGGGACTGGTGACTGTGAAGACAGCCAGAAGAGCCGTGCAGACAAAGCAAGGGGTCTTAGGCGGCGACCAGGCCGCCACAGGATCAGCCTCCATGATTAAAGCAGCAGGGCCCTGGTGCGGAGAGACAGAGACGGCGGACAGGACGGAATTTCCAAAACCAGACCAACCGCACAAGGAGTGCGGACGTGCGGAGGGTATCCTCTCAGTCCACTGGGGCAGAGAGACACGTGAATAAGTAAGCGGCTCGTGGCACGACAGGAGGGCCTCTTCAGGATAAAGTAGGAGCCCCTACCTCAACTGCCCACCCCCAACTCCTGGTCTTGGCTGTGTCTCCCCTGCGCGATCCTGCGTCTCTTCCACACGGGCAGCTCCTCGCTCGAGCTCTTCCTTTTCCGAGACGGTGTTTGCTTTCTGCATATTCCGTCTCACAAAACCGCACCGCGCTTTCATCCCTAAGCCATACGCCCTGTTCTTTCTGGGAATGTGACGTCCTCCGCCGGCAAGCCTGTGTCAACCTGAGTCTTCGTTCCCACCTCTGCAGGGATCTGGGGCCGACCTTTCAGGAGCACGGGCGCTGCGCTCCCCGGCCCCGGCCGCCCCGCCATCCCGTGCTGCGGAAGCCCCGCCGTGGGGCGGCAGGCGCTACCTATAGTCACCGCAGGCCCACGGACAGCCACAGAAGCCGGGTGCAGGGCTGGGGCACAGGGTCCAGGCCGTGCGTGTTAAAGCAAGCAGTGCCGCTGCTCGTGCTGGCAGAACACGCTTCTCTCTGGCCCCACCAGATGTGGTTTCAGGCTACTCACGCCGTGTCCTCCTCCACCGGAGGCTCGGGAGCACTGACTTCCTACAAAACCCGACTTTGCGAACTTTCTACCTAAAAACTATCTGTTTTTATCTAAAAACTTTCTGTTTTTAGACGGGGTCGTTCAAGTGCTACGTGTGAATCCTGAGTTGATGGCGCTGCTAATTACATATTTAATTCTCGTACTATGCCTGCAGGTCAGACAACAGAGTGAAGCTGCTATAGAGCCAATTAAGAAAATACGAAGAAAGCTTTCTAATTAGGGAAAATAGGGAAAAAATAAACTGTGATAAGGGGGTCAGATTAATTTCCCTGGAGATCAGTGACAGATGCAAAGACATTCACGTCTGGTGTGATTCAGGCACAGCCCGTCAGAAAGGTAAAACATAAAACTGAAGGTTGAAAACAACTACAATGAACTGTTACAAAAGCAGGCACAACGACGTTAAGGAATCCATGAAAAAGGGAAAATGCACTGCCCCAAACCCCATCGCCCTAAACGAAGTGACAGTTGTTTGGGGCAGCTCTCCCTGCTTACTCTGTGACACGGGGACCTGTGCCACCGTGCCCCGGGCAGGACATGTGGCTGGAGGCAAGCCGTCCCAAGGCCTGGCGCCTCGGTTTCCCTGCTGAGCATAAGGTGACACTCACAGCCAGACCCGAAGGGCGTTTCTCCTCACACCGGGTACCGTGGCTACCGCTGGGACGGGAGCTGCGTCTGCTGAGTCAGGCCCTAAGTGGGGCAGCAGCCAAGCAGGCGGCAACGCCAGGGGATGGTGGCAGCCCCAAGCCCCCAAACACAGCACAGTGACGCCTTCACAGTCCTAAGAGGAAGGTGACTTCCAATCGAGAACCCCGTACTGGGTCAGCCCTCAGTCATACACCTGGATGGAATTAAGATGCTGATCTCAAAAAAAAAAAAAAATCTCAGAAGCCTCCTTTTCCAGAATTTACAGAGTGTGTGCTACCAAATCGAAAGCGTGAACTGAGAAAGAGGAAGATGTGTGACTCAGGAAACAAGGGCTCCAGTCCTAGGGCGGTGGGGAGGGAGGCTGTCCGGGGGAAGAGCTCCCAGGAGGAGGCAGAGCAGGAGGCTCAGAGAGCACCAGGGCGGAGGGGAACGGGAAGGAAGAAGCAGCACCAAGAAAAGTCAGACCAAGGCACACACAGGCTTTGTAACTCGGTGGCAGTGTTAGGGGATAATTAGCGATGGCCGGCACGGAAAAGCAGACTCGTGAAAAAAACGGGGCCACTACAACCCCGGAGAAGACAGGTTATATGACAAGTGTAAATACTGTGTGTGCAAGGCTCACCTGTCGTATCTACACGGGCGCTGTGTTATGAACACCAAACAGATTTAACCAACGTTATCATTTATGGATTGCGATGGTGTGGGAGGGGGGATGGGAAGTGTGTGCCGGGGGAAGGCCGCGAGAGAGACCTCTGTAAAGGGTAAATCTCCATTTTAATAGATGTAATCTAATTCTCCCTTCTCCACAACAAAAAGAGAAGAGCAAGAGAAGCCTGTTATTTAGAAATAATGAGGTAAATACCAGAAGAAACATTAAGAAAGCGACAAGCCACCTGCGGCCAGTGGACTCAGGCAGGAAACTCAAAGACTGTTATGTGACTTTGACAAAGAAACAAACCCACTCCCGGACCAATTTGCTGTCTTAAATGGCAGGAAGAGATGGACGCAGTCCCTCGCACCAAAGAGAGCGAGCCCGGCAAAGGGCCCCCAGAGCAGCGGGAGGACACCAACCACATGGACACCAGCACCCCCGGCCAAGAGCCAGTCAAACCTTCGCCCAGGCTGCTGGGGTGTGAGCCCCTCTCCGCAGCCTCTCCTTCCTGCGTTCTGCTGCAGGCCGTGGAACAGGGAAAGCAGCGCTGACAAGCTAGGGGGTGGGCGTCCTGGGGAGGAGGGTCAGCAGGGGAGAGGGGGAGCTGCTGTCAGGTGGCCTCGGGTGACCGGGTGACTGGTGCTCCAGCATCAAGGCTGTCACAATGACGCTGGGATCCCCCGGTGCCAGGCAGTGGGGCAGCTCAAAGAGAGGGCTGCTAAGTGCATAAGCTCCCGGGGGGCCTGGAGCCTGGGGCCTGTGACACATGGAGCTCTGAGGGCCCTTTAACACATTCCACGCAGCCTCTGTAAAACCCGAGAGGTGATTACCTGTGCACGTAGTGCAGCTGATGGATGGAGTCGATGGCCAACACCATTTCACCAATGTAGAATCTTGCCATATCTTCCGGAAGCTTGTCTTCAAATTTACTGAGCAGGGTCAGCAAATCACCACCCACATAGTAGTCCATGACCAAGTACTACAAATTGGGGCGAGATGGGGGAGAAGAGGGTACAGTCAGCACCAAGCCTGACAACTGAAGGCCAACCCCCCACCGGGAAGTTCTCCGGCTCTTCAAGTCGGGACCGACAGCTTGCTCCCACGTCATCCAGGATGCCCCCGGTTTGTTGGTCCCTAACACTGCTGCACTTTCCAGTCAGGCACCTGGCAGAGAACAACTTCAACAGGTAATACATTTAACCTCTGGAGAAAGTTACTGAAGAGTCTGATGCAGGAGAAGGCACAACAGAAGCTGAAGACCCAAAGCAGAAACACGGTTCATGATCTATCAGGTTCTCCTGGGTTTGTAGAATTCTCCCGGCCCTTACATCACAGGAAGAGGACACTGGACCAGAGGAAGAAGGTGAGTTACCTAAAATCACATGAAACTAGCAGCTCTTATTAGAAAGGCGATCCCACGAACAAGCTGGAAGGCAGATATCTCTGTGTAAAGCCCCAGGAAAAATCAGACCCTTTACGGCTTATGCAGAAATTAAAGCCACGACAGAAGAGCGTCCAAGTGCCGGGTGTCCTGCAAACGGGACTGAGTGGGCCTCCCCTCTGAGCAGGGCAGCCTTCTCTCTGACAACAGCCTCTTGGCGCAGCACCCTGAACGCTCTGACGTCTGATGGGGCATCTCACAGGTCAGGGAGGCCCGGGACAGGTGAGACTGTCACAGCCAGAGTCGGGGTGGCTGAGGCTTGGGGACTGCTGGGGAAGCAGCGGGCCCCGCCCCAGAGCAATCACCTCCCTGGAAGCCAGTTTCCGTTGACGAGATGGACATGCTGGTCCAACAGTTAACTAGCCAACAGAAGGAAACGCCAGCACCCGGTTTACTGAGCCAGAGAAATGACCGCTGCAGACTGACTGGGACCCGAACAGCGGTCAGAAAGCAGCTGCTGGGCTCTGTGCTCTCAGGCTCCGGCTCGTGCCCGTCCCCGTCCCCTCTGGCAATGCCTGCAGCAGCCCCCGCTGCAGGCACGAGCACAATCCCATTCTGCGGGCACGGAAGTGAGGCCCGAGGCCCAAAGTGCCCCAGCCAGCGAGTGACGGAGCAAGGATCTGAACACAGGCAATCGGACCCAGGCCCAGAACAGCAAACACGGCCCTCGGTGCCTCGTGTGGGAGGAGAGCAGCCACCATGCTGGGGGGCTCGTGTGAGGAGGGGGACCGTCACTCAGGCCCCTGCTCTCCAAAGCACCCGTACCGACAACCCTCCCACCCGGCCTCACAAACCGCTCCCCTTGGCCTGATCTCACGGCGCTGAGGCACGGCAGGCCACCCGTCCAAGGGGGGGTCCTGGGTGATCAGGTCCCCCCTCACCTGTACCCACAACAACTCCTGTTTCATGGAAGGCCCTCGATGGCGCCCGCTGAGCTCGTGCCCTCCCTTGTTCACTCACTCATTCTCGGCCAGGAGCCCCTGGCACCCCGGAGACAACGGGCGCTGTCCACAGAGCTGCTGCGGAGGGGAGGGATAGAGACCGTACGTAAGTGTGCAGGTGGCCCCAGCACTTTCAGAGAACGCTGGGCACAGAAGAAAACGAAACCACACAGCCTGCCAGAGCACAAGGCCGCAGACGTCTGGGGCCTGCATGGCAGGCAGAAGCCGGCCTTAGCATGGGCTGGGGGTTATGTTCCAGACAAAGGGATGTGTGCAAAGAGAAGGATATGGCCAGCTGGGGGGAATGGACGACAGTGACTACGGCTGGAGTGTGAGCAGGGGGTGGGAGCAAAGCCAGGCCCCACAGGCCACAGCCGGGACCACACACCCCACTCTAAGCACCAGGGAAGCTGCTGGGAGGGCCTGGGCTAGACGCTGCAGTCGGATGCACGCTACAAGCCTTCTGCCTGCCCAGGAAGAAGAGACTAGAGGATGAGGGCCAGGAGCAGGGCAGGAGAGGGGCTGGGAGGCCGTGATGTGGTTGGTCCAGGCAAGAGGTGAGGCTGACAGGCGCTGGGGCCGGTGGGGGTGGGGCACAGAGAGGCTGGATCAGAAATCGTGGGTATCTAGAGGCAAAGCCCAGAGCACCTGTGGACAGACGCACCCTGGGAGAGGGGCAGGGAACAAACAGCCAAGCTGTGCAGACCCTAAAGAAAACATAAAGCAGCGTATCTGGCCAAATGTCAGGGCTTTCCAGGTCTGCCGGGAAACATGAAAAGAAAACAAGGATGTAGTACAGCTGGGCTAAACAGGACGGACAGGCTCTCACGAAACTACTCTAAGAAAAGTCAACCGTAAGAGCTCCTACGGTGGACAAGCAGAACCTGATTTTTGGAGTAAGAACCAGACCAATTACCTTTTCTGTCGTGTAACACAGGATTCTAAGTCAGTAAAAGGCAACGCCCTTTTAGTTACTGGTAAAACAGGTTTAATTTTTATGACAGGCTGAGTTTAGACGCCGACAGCAGAAATTATAACATGAACCGGCTCAACAGGGCAGCCAAGGAACCCACAGTCCGAGGGAGGCCTGACCCAGCCTGGCCCACCCCAGGAGGGTGCGGACTGACACTGTCCCAGTGAGCAGGAACCTGCTGGAAAGTACCACTCGGGGGCAGCACAGACAGCAGCCAGACCCCGGTCCACTGACCCAACAAGAGGACCCAGGAAGGGCGCAGAGTCCCTGCTCTCCTTCTCCCTAATTGTCCCTGGACTTCTCTTTGTGCAACTCCACACACTCCAGAAGATGGCTTCTTGGCTGGATTCCTAGCGGACTGTCCGCGGTCAAAATAAGCTCAGACTGCGACACCCCGTGCTGACCTCGGGGATGAGGCGCTGCCCCGCTTCTGCACACACAGCCCCGCGCTGCCCAGACCACTCAGAGGCTTCACCACGTCGGAAACGGGCTGGAGCCGGTCCCCTCCCAGCGGCGGCCTATGTGCAGAGGGCTCCAGGGCATCAGGACTCTGTGGTCTGTGGGGAAGGGCCCTGAACACCACTTCCTGCCACAGGCCCGGGCTGCGGTCCCTGCCCAGCCCCATCATCTGAGCGACATCTCTGGGCACATGACTTCATCCCTTCCTGCTCCTGACACCCAATTTAAAAAGTGATGACAACCCTGAATGCCTAAGCCATGGGGTCCTTGGAAAGACGTACGGAGGTGACCCACACGCCTCTGCTCAGTAAACACAATGGTCCCCTCTGTAGAAGCAAGTGTATATATTTTAAATTCTTTTAGAGACAGAGCACAAGCGTGTGAGTGAGCAGAGGGGACGGGTGGGGGAGGGGCAGAGGGAGAGGGAGGAAATCCCAAGCAGAGCCTGGCATGGGGCTCCATCTCCCGACCCTGAGATCATGACTTGAGCTGAAACCTAGAGGCGGATGTTCAACTGACTGACCCATCCAGGTGCCCCTATTTTAAATTCTGAATGAAGAGCATAATAAACCCTTTTACCTAATTCGGACCGTTCAAATCTAAGGGAGTTCTCTGATGTCTGAAAGAGACGGTTCTCCGATGAATAAGCTTGCTCTAGGGAATGGAGCACACTAGCAGAGACGCGCTCAGGGAGACAGAGGTCTCTGCCCTGGGGCTGTGCTGACCCCTGAAGGCCCCTCGGCTACCACTGGAGCCACGCGGGCCAGAGGAGCGAGGCAGAGATCAGCTTCTCCAAGGTCTGTCCTCGCCCGACACCCAGAGCTCCACATACGGACTTTGGCTTTAGACGAACCTAGAGTCCCTCTTGGAGTTCACAGCGCCTGAGACCCCGGGTTTGGTCTCCCTCCACTCTGAGCCGCTGTGTCTGTGTCCCCATGTGTTCACGACCAGGCACATGTGCGAACCACGCGGCAGACTGGTCACCCCTGGAAGTAAGCCCAGCTCAAGGCAGGGGAAACGGATGCCAAGAGCCCCCCAAGCCTGCGTCAGAAGGCCTCGGAGCGCCCGGCTCAGAGTCCTGGACCTGCCACCAAGCAGCAGAGACAGCAACATCCGCTCGGCATCCGGGGCTGAGCCCTGCAACTCGCTCTCGTCCTCACACGTAACTCCAGACACTCAAGATGGAAAACGCTGGACATCCCCAGCTTATTTAAATGGAACAGCGCCAGTGACCAAACTAATCAGGTTAGCTAATGATCAGGAAAACAAAGTACACAAGCTCACTAGTCTATTTTAAAAAATGCCACCTGATTACCACATTACAACAAACCCGAGTCTTCTCGGGTCAAACATGCGGTGAAACAGCGTCAATTCCACACTGTGTGACCCCTTTTTCAGTCCCAGCACGAAGGAATCCACAAGATGCAGCCACACGCCATCTGAGCGCCTCGGCCCCGGGACCCACACGTACCAGGTAATTCTCGTCCTGGAAGGCATAGTGCAGCGTCGTGATCCACTGGCAGTCCCCGTTCACCAGCACGTCCCGTTCTTCTCGGAAACAGGCCGTCTGTAAGGAATCGGGGACAGTTGGTCTATGTGCATCTGAGCAGCACAGTCCCCAGCAGAGGAGACCCTGCCGTGGCCCGGCTCTGGAGACGGTGCGGGACGCCGGGCTCCCCCGCCCTCACCTGGAAACTCCCCGAGGCAGCTCCCACCCACTCCTCAGTCTTTCTGCAGCCCCACGGGCCGAGAGCCCAAACGGCTCCAGGTTCTTCCCTGCTCCTGCCCACACGGGCACTGAGGACGGCTGAGAACTCCTTCCTCACAATGGGCCTATGCCCTCCCTTCCTCCCATGGGCCCAATGCTTCAGCCAGTACGGGACAGTCCACTGGGCTCGAGGGTGGACGCTGGCCCGTCCCACACAGCAATGCCTGACCTCTCCTGACCAGGCCAGCTTCGCCTTGATGGCCTACGGTGCGGCCACCCCGTGTGTGACCCTTTCTGTCACAGACCGCACGGATGGCAGGAAAGGGCACACACCTGTTTCCGGACCTGAGCCGTGCAAGGGGTTTCACTTCTAGCACGCTGGTGCACACGACTGTCACAGGACGCTCTGAGCACGGAACATTTCAACTCCTCATATTTGAACTTGCAAAGCTTCACAAAAATGAGAGTGGCACCAACAGGGGCCCTGCTCTGGCAGGCACTGGGGAATTCTACCTGTTCTCTCCGGAGACTCACAGTAGCCTGGAGAACTTTCCTCCTACAAGTTTGCTGCTCTAAACTTGTTTTCTACAGTTTTCCTATCAAGAAGAAATGACTGAAGTAGATGTGCCTCAATTCTACTGATTAAAAGCAGTGAAAGTAACTTCAGTGGGGCAGCGGCCACCGAGACCACAGGGCCCAGTATGGGGCGGCCACAAGACGCTCCGTGGTCCCAAGCACCTGCCCATCCACATCTAGAAAGAAAGCCATCCTGACACCACGGACCAGCACCGAGACCCGCAGTCAGGAAAGACACATATTGTTCAGCAGTTTTGTTTTTTTTTTGAGAGAAAACTTTCAGGACTTCTTTTTTATGAGCCAAACAGATGAGCTGAAAGCCCAGCACGATCCACAAGTTATGAATTAACGCGGTTTTGCAGCTTCTCTATTGCCTCCTCTTGCTAACTTCACGCTTTTAAAGATTTTTAGAAGTTAATATAAAATTTAATGTTCAAAATAAGATTACTAAGAATAAAAAGATAAATTACTTCAACCCGCATTTTATATCAATATTATGTTTTTATACGTATCTCACACACCCCCCCCCATGACATATATGCTGAGATAATCGTCAAAATTATCACCATGAATCATATAGAATCATAATTCTGGGACTTTTCAGAGTATGCCAATTAGATAGGATCTCTGTAACCAGATTTAAATTTCAAAATGCCATAATTTTAAAATGTACTCACCATGACATTTGGGTAAATACTCACTCGTATGATAAGGTGAGAATCACCTCTCCCTAACCTTGAGACTTCTCACTCTTATCAAAATATAAACTCGAATGAATTTGCTACTCGCATTTATTCCCCCAAACACTCATTCTTCCCCCAGACTTCTACGTAACACAAGCTGCTTGCTCCCTGCAAAGAGTCATGTCAGCGACAGCCCTGGGACGACCAGAGGACCAGTGGCACCGTGAAGAGGGCTGCTGGGGCCCGGAACAAGGAATACGGCCGGAGCCCAGGGAGCCGCGCCAACGGTGATGCTTCCACCAACCAACGTGCATTCGCCAAGCAGCCCAGGGTGTGAGGCCTTGTGCTGGGTGCGTGGCAGGAAGCACGGCAAGCCGTAAAGGACAGACACGATGAACCTGGACGCCACGTGAGAAGGCCCGCCCACCGAGTTAATGACAGCCTGAGCTCAGGAGAGCGATCCGGCCAGAACAAACATTGGTGCTGTCATCTGCCCAAGGGGGCAGCATTACCCCAGGTAGGAACTGCAGAACAGAGGAGGAAGGGCCACCTAGAATTACAACGAGGGTTCAGAGTGACAGGATGAGGGAGGCCAGAAACCAGGAAAAGAGTTTCCGGAGGAGACGGCGGCCAATCCTAGGGGTGTGCAGTCCTGGCGTGAGCTTGCTTCCCAGCTGAGGCACAGCAGGGGTGGCGCGGATGGTGGGCAGGGGGCAGGCGAGGCAGACCCCAGCCCCAGGCGCGCCAAGGGCACTGGGCCTGGACAGTCCAGCAACAGGACACAGGGTAAGGATGCTCAGGTCCTGATGCGAAGCGGAGGAGCACAGAGGAGGGCCGAGGAGGGCAGACTGGGGGCGAGTCTGGACAGCACCAGAGGAATCTGTCGGGCCCGGGAGCGTGAAACAGGCACCCCAGATAGGGCGCCGAACTCAGGAAAAACACATCGGAAACTGCCAAGCGGTCACCATCTACTTCTACTTATGATCTCGTCCTCCTTCTAGGACGGAGTGTTAAACGCATCTCTGTCCTGAAGTAGGCTCCGAATTCAATAATGCCCTTTGTGCAGGAAGCAAACCTGGGACAAATGCCTACAGTGCCCGCGAAGGCTTTACTCTGCCCTCTCCGCGACCAGCCCTGGCGGGGGAGGAGCCCTGCAGGGCAGCGGAAGAAGGGCAGGACGGAGCGCGTGCTGGCCTTGCGGCGACAAAAAGCAGTTCGCTGGGACCGAGGAGGGAGGCCCCGACCGGGGGGGCACAGCAGCCGCGTCCGCCTGCACACTGGTCACCGCCACACTCACCTCCGCCCGTTTCAGCATCTCCCACTTGTTGAGGATTTTCATGGCGTAGATTCGCTCAGTGCTCTTCATCCTGACAACGGCGACCTGGGACATGAGCAGGTGTGTGACAAAAATGTAGTTAATGGAACAAAAGCCAGCACTTTTTCACGTAACTACAGTGCAATCTTTGTTGCCTAGCGGAAAGGAAACGCTGGAGAATGAGCTGCTGAGGAAGAGGAGTTTTTTACGTCAACAAAAATTTGCCCTTTTAACCACGGAGACCTGATCTCAGCAGCCGACGCCACGCGCTCGGCTCACCACCCTCCGCAGCAAGCCGTGGGCGCATGGAGTGGGGGGCGGCGGGTGGAGCGCTCACCGTCCTCTTGGGCGCACGCCTGGGATTTTCATCAGAAAAACTTTAAAAATCTACTCACCGCTCCCCAGCCTTGTTCCCTGTGTCCGAGGGCTCCGTCCCCACAGCCTCCCCACCTGCCCCGCTGGGGGCTCACCTCTACCTCTCACTCCCGCCACAGTCTCTGCCATGTGCCAGCTCTTAGCCCTGAGACCTTCAAGATGGGAGGTGTACCCGCATGAGCTCTGGACTGTGACCCGGACAAACTCTTCCCTTTGGGTTTCTACAGCAAGCAAAGCGGTCACAGCAGTGCTGGCCCGAGACTGCGGTGAGGATCAAAGAAGCCAGCGTGCCCGCACGTGCTCAGATGGTGTTACACACATAGCACGTCGGCCGTCAGCCACCTTCTTCAAGGTACAACTCAAATGCCACCTCTCCCAAGAAGTCCTATTGGATTTCCTGACCCCAGGAAATCTCAGATGAGCTCTCGCATCAGTCCCAATACCAGATGTGACGTCTGTGCCACCATCTGGCACATTCTACCCTGTAAAAGCATTCACTGGCCTAAGTGTCCACTACAGACCATGTGCTACATGCCTACCGGCTTGTAGGCAGGTAGCCTACTCCCTGGTTTTCTAAACAATCACGTTAAACTAATCCCACAAGCTCCATGCCCTGGGCGCTTTCCCCGCGCTGGGACTATGCCTTTCCCCCATAGTCTCAGCTGACCCTCACCATGACCCTCCTCGGCAGGGCCAATGTTTACAGCCCCACTTACAGATTTGGAGTCCGAGGCCGGGAGGTTCAAGCAACATGCTGACAAGGGGCAGAGGCTCTCCCTCAAATGCACACATGTGAGCACGCTACCATACAGTCACAACTGAATGTTGTCTTCCACGGGACTGATGATGGGGGGGGCGGGGTCAAAAAGGAGCACAGCCTAACGGAACCCCACAGCTCGCCAAAGGCCAAAAGCACCTCCCAAACCACGTGGCTTGCCGCCAGACTCCTGCTGCCCACCATGTGGACCATATGGAATGACATGGTCCTCTGTCACCTCCCTAGGTCACCCTGTCACTGCCAGCCTGGCGCTCACAGTGGTGGCCCTGTTCAGCACACCACACCTGTTCCAGCTGCTGTGTCTCAGCCATGGCCTTAGAACGAAAGACCAAGCTCACAGCTCTGCACAGCTCTGCACGGAGAACAGAAAGAGTCTGTGAGTTCCCCAACACGTCTAAGAACAGCAACTCTGGGCACACAGTCTGTCATTACGTCAGGAGCGTCGATTTCTTCCTTGGAACCAGCTACGATCAATAGGGAAAATATCAGTGTGAAAAAAATACTACTACAACGTAAACCCTATCAAAATATCAATGGCATTTTCACGTGACCAGAATAAATAGTCCTAAAATTTGTATGGAACCCCAAAGACCCCTGAGAGCCAAAGCCACCTTGAAAAAGAACAGAGCTCGAGGCATCACATGCCCCACTCTCACACTATCCTAACAGAGCTGTAGTGGCCAAAACACCACATCCTGGCACAGAGACAGACACACAGACAAACGGAGCAAAGCAGAGTCCAGAGATGAACTCGTGGTATGTGGTCAGTCTTCGACAAAGGAGGCAGGTAACAAGCAACATGGAAAAGACCGTCTCTTCAACAGACACGCTGGGAAAACTGGACAGCCACACGCAAGAGAATGAAACCGGACCATTTCCTTACACCGCACACAAACACAAAAATAAACTCAAAATGGATTAAAAACTTAAATACAGCACCCGAAACCATAAAAATCCTAAAAGAAAACATAGGCAATAATCTCTCAGACATCAGTCTTAGCAATATTTTTCTGGATCTCTCCCCCGACGCAAGGGAAAAGCAAAAATCAACTATTAAGACTACATCAAACCATAAAGCTTCTGCCCAGTGAAGGAAACCATTAACAAAGCAAAAAGGCAGCCTACTGAATGGGAGGAGGGATCTGCAAATGATTAATCCCGTAAGGGGTTAATACCTAAAATACGTAACAAACATACACAACTTGATAGGAAAAAACGGAACAATCCAATTTAAAAAATAGGCAGAAAACTTGAGGGAATTCTCTAAGGAATACCTCCAGATGGCCAACAGACACACGACAAGATGCCCTGTGTCACTCGTCATCAGGGAAGTGCCAATTGGAACCACAATGAGATACCACCTCACACCTGTCAGAACACTATTACCAAAAAGACAAGAAAAAATAAGCACCAGCGAAGATGCGGAGAAACGGGAAGCCTCGTGCACTGTTCGTGGGAACACAAGCTGCCGTAGCCACTCTGGAAAACAGTCCGGAGGTTCCTCAAAAAAACAATTAAAAAAGAACTACCATTCAATCCAGCAGTTCCATTTCCAGGTATTTATCCAGAGGAAACAAAAACACTGATTCTGAGAGACAGAAGCACTCCTATGTCTACTGTAGCATTGGTTACAACAGTCGAGATCCGGAAACATCCGAAGCGTCCAACAACAGATGGACAGACAGATGAAGAAGGGACGGCACACACACACCGGAGTATTACTCAGGCAGAAAAAATATGAAATCCTGCATTTGCAACACCACGGATGGGGCCGGGAGTAACAGGTAAATGCGGTCAGTCAGTCAGAGACAAGTACCATGTGATTTCCCTTATGTGAAGAGTCTCAAAAACAGAACAAAAACAGAAACAGACTCACAGATGCAGAGAACGATCTGGTGGCTGCCAGATGGGTGAACCAGGGGAAAAACATGGCATAGTATTTACTACAGAAGTGGTCTAACTGGGAAAAACAGTGGAGTTGATAACTTTTGAGGGAAGTAATGAAATTCTCAAGATTACAAGCCTCAGGAACAATCCAGGTCCTGCTGAAGAGGAGATGCAGGACACTGAACTCTCACTAGATGCTTTTTCTGCAGAAGAGGTCATCGGGGCCCAGGCTCTGGCCAGGAAACACGCCGATGCCTCTGATAAATACCCAAATAAACAGTTTGTAAAAATCCCGTTTCGTTTACTCGAAGCTGCTTCTTGGCCCAAAACTCAGCGTTAATTGCGTCAACGAGATGATGATGATGCTACACGCAGCTCCAAAATCAGACGCTTCCATGAGGAAATACTAACAGAAATAACTTACCGAAACCCTGAAAAATGATCCGGGGACATGACAGGCAAGTGTAATGCCTGCCAGCCCAGGCCCAGTCTGGAGGGACCAGAAAGAATGCCAGGAAGGTCCTGGTGTGAGACAGTAGATCAGACAAAAAGTATTCTGACTGAAAATCCACATTTATGAACCGTGACTTTCTAAAGGACTATCTCCAACAAGAAAACGGTCTCTGAAGCAAGAGGGGAAGCACCTTGCTTGAGACAGGCAACCCCCCCCAGTCCTTCAGGAAAAACCACACACAAACACACGCACGGGAGGGCGGGGCGGGGAGCACAGCCGATAGGATAAAGCAAATGAGATCAATGTTAACTGACAAAAGGCACCTGGGGAAAGGGGCGGGGTCACTGATCTCTGACCCATTTTATTCATGCACCTGTTCTGTTAGTTTGAAATTGTTTCTAAACCAAGCTAAAGCTTTGTTTCTTTTTAAAAAGTCATTCTGGGTTGGGCCTGGGGCTTTGAGTCAGGCAGGCAGGACTCGAGTCCGGCTCCAGCACAAGCCACCCTGGGCCCATGGGCCTCGATCTGTCATCTTCCTGATGGGGTGGTGTGCAGGCGGGGTCTAGAAGGGTCAGTGCTCCCACACTGATGAAAGCACTTCCCAGACCTGCCATCCCCACGATCCCAGAAGTGTTTCCAAAGCTACTGTGCTTAAGAAAAAGGGCAATGCCCCAAATATTCCCAATCTTCTTTACAGAATTATCCAGAAGTGTTCCCCTCAACTCAGTGTGTGTATGGAGGGGGGTCGTGTATGCGTGCAATTCTGAACTGTGATTTTCATACACTCCTGCCAAGGGGTGTAGAGTTCTGGACTGTCCATGTTCTCTCTGGGAGGGGGCTCCAGGGCGGCACGTCCCAAGGCCTCAGTGCTATGGGTCCATATACCTGGGCTCCAATGCAGACCCCCACGGACACTCACCCTCCCCTGGCATGTCATGAGGAAAAAACAACTCAGTTAGAACCATGTTTCTCTGTGTGTGTTCTTCATACAGACGACCCCAACACTGACAGAGACCTCATTTCTGGGATCCGCTCAGTGCCGTCACTGAAATCGGGCACACACTTCAGGTACGTGATGACACGAATATCTCAGGCAGGCAATGGCAACGATGCCTCGGTACCACAGAGTGCCACGTAATGGCAGGACTGGTAAGAATCCAAATTTCTAGGGGCGCCTGCGTGGCTCAGAGGGTTAAAGCCTCTGCCTTCGGCTTAGGTCATGGTCCCAGGATCCTGGGGTTGAGCCCCGCCATCGGGCTCTCTCCTTGGCAGGAGCCTGCTTCCCCCACTCTCTCTCTGCCTGCCTCTCTGCCTACTTGTGATCTCTCTCTGTCGAATAAATAAATAAAATCTTAAAAAAAAAAAAAAAAAAAAAAAAAAAGAATCCAAACATCTAGTCATGGCAGGGGAGGGCTGGCAAGAGTGTACAAGAAGCCCAGACAGGACGCAGAATGGCTGGGTGGCTGGAGGAGCCGGACGAGGGAGCCGGCGTGGACAGCCCAGGCCACAGGGCCCGGGGAGGGGTGGTGGGGCACAGGGGTGGGGGAGGGCCTCACAGGCTGCTAAAGCCTGGACACGGAGCCAAGGGAAGGCAGAGAACCCAAGGACTTCTGCAAAGGCCCAGACAAGGACGGGTTTCTCTTAGTTTAAGAGGAACTTAAAACGTGATACAGGCCACATTCTCTGAAACTCAGAAAGCTGAGTTTTGCATTAAGTTCTCTGGCAGCGGAGAGCACTTGCGCGAACTGTAACCTGCTCGGGCACAAGACTGTTGTCTCCCATTCTTTCATCTTGCCTCTCCGGCCCTGAGGCGTCTTCTTGACCGTCCAGATCCCTCCGCTAGGCCCGTAACCCCAGATCTCTGGGAGGGCCTGGGCCTTGCTCATATCTGCGCCCAGAGCCTGGCACAGGTCCTGGTACAAGGAAGTCAATCAGCAAAAGTATACACTGCCCTGAGTCAGGCTTGGTTTCAGAAGGCCTTCTCCCTCTCCTCACAGATCAGCCACCAAACCAGACCTCACATCATCATGTAACCCACCTACGCTCAGAGATGTGTTATTTCTTCTAAAATCTTTTTTTTTTTTTTTTGGAAGATTTTATTTATTTGACAGAGACCGTGAGAAAGGGAACATAAGCAGGTTCCCCACTGAGCAGGGACCCAAAGTGTGACCTGATCCCAGGACCCTGGGATCGTGACCTGAGCCAAAGTCAGACACCTGACAAGTGAGCCACCCAGACATCCCTGTGTTATTTCTGAGCAGAACTCTCTCTTTTCCCTGTGGCACTGCTGCCTCTCTGCCCACCCCCACCTCTGTGAGACACCCTCCTAGGGACAGGCCCAGGCGGGGGGACACAGAGCAAGGTGTGAGGACTTGGGGCTGGGGTCCGAGATGAGGCCAGAGCAATGTCCAAGGAAGAAACCAGGGCACGACACCCAATTGTCCACACTCGCTGGAGCAGGCCAGGCTTTCTCCCTGGACTCTCTGGGAAGCATTTCTGGAGGAGTACCGCCTTTCTGTGTGTTCTACCGAAGCAGGCACGGGAGGGGTACCATCGGCTGCTTGCAGGAGAATCGTCAGAAACACCGACATGTGTTCTAAGACAGATGACAGGACTTGTTTCAACTCAGCAGGCAGAGGAGACGCATCCGAGCCCAGGGGCCACCTAGTGAATGCACGGCTTTGCTGTCGTCCTCGGTGCACAACGGAAAACGTAGGCCAGGCACAACAAAGCCCACGTCACGCTGACGGCACCGTGGAGTCACGGCAGGGCTCGTGGTCAGGCAGAGCACGTCTACTGCAGTGGGACAGCGTGTCACCGCTGGCTTTCTCCTCAGAACTGCGCACCCACCCACCCCTGGCTACTCCAGCCCCAGAGAGCTAAAGGCAAAGTCTGAGCTGGGGGTCCGTTCATTTCCGTATTTAAGAGGTGCACGGGCCATAAAACCACCTGACCCTGGTCTGCAGCAGGGACCTGAGCCTCAGGCCCTGTGGGTGCCCGACGCCAAGGAGGGTGCCTGGGGCAGAGGCCACGGCCCCCGGGTGCTGGCTATCCGGCCCAGGGCAGCGAGGCCAGCGCTCCTGAGGGGAGCGGAGACCGGCAGGGCCCCGCGGCAGACCCCCTCCCCAGCACAGAGGGCCCCAGCACCCACGGCAGGCGAGCTGTGGTTCTGCCTTCCCTGCACTCTGCGGAAAATTTTTCAATTAACAAATGGATTTTTAATAGACTTGTCTCGAAGCAGCAAGATTCGGGGCAACTCACCTGTCATGGGGTTTCACTGCTCTTCCTTGTTGCGTTAAGTGCTCTCCCAAATCCCAGTAGTGACCCCCCAAACCCCGGTCAACGCGCTGGATCCCAAAACTGCTGGATGGGGGCTGCTTTGGCCATGAGGCAAAGCCAGCACAGTGAAGCTTATCTTACCTCTCCGAAAGCCCCTCTTCCGATCACTTTAATGATTTCGAAGTCTTCTCGATGAAGCTGCATCTCCTTCACCAGCTGCGTAAATGGTTTAGCTATAGATTTAAAAAAGCGAAATCAACAATTTACTCTCAGGAGCTGAGACTACATAAAAATTCAGTTGACTGAGGCATTCTACTAAATTATACAGCTTTCTTAGGAAAAAAGTTTATTTTTTAGATGTTTAATATCTGGCAAGTTTCGGGAAGCCCACGTTTATGCTCAATGTAGGTGCACTTCCCGCTCTGTTGTAGTGAACAGTGCCGCTGAAGCTGGGACCGACCTCGCTGGGCAAGCAACTGGTGGGCAGGTTCCCAGCCGGCCGGCGGCGAGAGCCCGCCACGCCGCACAGAACTTAGCCATCCTCCGGGTGAGCGAGCGCCACGCTCCACCTGTCAGCTCCGTGGGGCCACGGGGCAGCTGTGGGGACAAGAGACATTCTCCAAGAATGGCAGCGACCTTTCCAGTGCAGGCAGTGCTCCTGGACGTCGTGACCATCCTCACTAATTGCGAGGAGCCTCTAACAGTGTCCTTGAAGAAATCGGGAGAAGCGGCTTCCCCGGCACCCATGTGTTCCGCATTCCAGGGAGGAGGAAGCTGAGCCAGGTTTCTGTGGACAGTGCACTGGGCTGAACAGTGTCGTATCTCCCCCACCCCCCACTCCACCCAATCCAGAGTGTCCACCCAGAACCTGGGAATGTGGCCCTATTTGGAAGTGGGGTGTTTGCACATTAAGGTGGGGTCACAAACAGGAATGAGATGGGCCCTAAATCCAACAGGACTGAGTCCTCATTAAAGAGAGGGAATGCGGACGCAGAGGGAAAAAGCCACAAGAAGACAGAGGCATGTTTGGAGCGATCAGTTCGAGCCACGGAACACCGCCTCCACCAGAAGCTGGAAGGGATGGGGCATCTTCCCTGCAGCCTCCAGAGGGAGCAGAGCCCTGCTCACACCCTGACTTTGGACTTCTGGCCTCCAGAACTGTGAGAGGAGATGTCTCCGTAGTGTCAGGCTGCCCCCAGCTCGTGGGAACCACCGCACACCGCATGGGTCATCTCCTTCCAGGAACAGCACAAGCCACAGCGCCCAGGACAGAGGTCTCGCTGTTCACTCCAGAGGCAGTGCCCTCCCCACCACCACCCGCCTGCCCCTGGTCGGACACCCATTCAGTCAGTCACATCTCTCACACCTGTTCTGATTCTCACCTCCAGGCCCAAGTCCTTGTTTGATGCTAACCTGTATTCTACACATTTCTTTTCTCAAATTCCCACTACTGGTTTTGTGAAACATTTCCACTGGGGGGATCAGGCGCAGTGCACAAGGGCTCTTTCTGTATTAATTCTGGCAAATACACCTGCGTCTACCGTTATCTCCAAAACCAGCCAAAACGAAACCTGCAATCTTTTTCTGGGCTTCTAACTGAGCTCTGTATTATTAACCTAATTCTACCATTTTTCTCTTTAACTAAATGCTTAATAAACAGCACTAAGGTTTGATCACCCTGGTTCACTGACCACGGTAAGAGCAGCCAGAGCGCCAGAAGGTTCTTGGGGCCCATGGAGAACGAACTGTGACCACTACTGGTGCAGATCCCCATTGGCACAGACATCAGGGAAGAGAACACAGAGGGCCTGATTTCAATTAAAAAAATGAAAGAAAAAAAAAAAAAAAAGGCCAGGTTAAAAAAAACCTTGAGCTACAACTTTAAAGGTTGTCTATGGCTCATCTTTCTTTCTTTCAAATATCCCCCAAAATAATCATCCCCACAACTCCTAATGGAGATACGTACTGCAAACAGCCACCAAAAACCTGGACCTCTCTTGGTATCGTCTCGGGAACCACATGGGACTGCTCTTTCTACAACGACGAAAGACAATCCCAGCACATCGGATATGTTGTTTCACACCAGAAGAGAGCACTGCAGGAAGGAGCGCTCGCTCACCAGCACGGCTGAGCACGTGCCGCGGAAACATCCACTCTGGCAGGGCGCAGTGCAATGTTCCGGACCCTTCCACAGATACCCCAACAACTCCCAGAGGTGGTAGCCACTGCTGTAATGCACAGACCAGGCAGAAAGGCAAAGAAAATTCCACCCGGAATCGTGCCACGAGTCAGCTGAACTTGTCCGTGCTCCCATGCCATCGTGCTCACAGGCAGAGTCAGTGTGTCCTATCTTCTCTACTCCTTTATCTTCTTGGACATTTCATGTCTTTGTACTCAGTGATCACTTTAACAGGTGCGTACTCGTTCACTAGCTGACACACCAACAACTGTAAACGGTGTGTCTGCTGAACAGACAAGTCAGACCTTTTTTCCTTTTTTTTCAGATTTATGTATTTGTCGGGGGGAGGAAAGGCAGAAGGAGAGAGAATCCAAAGCCCATTCCCTGTGGAGCACGGAGCTTGAGGCGGGGCTCGATCCCAGGACCCTGAGATCATGACCCGCGCTGAAGGCAGAGGCTTTAACCCACAGAGCCACCCAGGCGCCCAAATCTTTTTTTAAATAATGAGGCACAGGGGCGCCTGGGTGGCTCAGTGGGTTAAAGCCTCTGCCTTCAGCGCGGGTCATGATCTCAGGGTCCTGGGATCGAGCCCCGCATCAGACTCTCTGCTCAGCGGGGAGCCTGCTTCCTCCTCTCTCTCTCTCTCTGCCTGCCTCTCTGCCTACTTGTGATCTCTCTCTGTCAAATAAAATAAATAATAAAATCTTTTAAAAAAATAAAATAAAAAAATTAAAAAAGATTTATTTATTGATTTGGGAGAGAGCGTGTGTGTACAAGCATGAGAGGGGGAGGGGCAGAGGGAGATGCAGACTCAGTGCTGAACACGGGGCCCAAGGACGTGGGGCTCGATCCCAGGACCCTGAGATCACAACCCAAGCCACAGTCGGACGCTCAACTAACCGAGGTGCCACACAGGTGCCTAAACATTTCATTTTAAACCATTCTCTTCTTGGAGCGCCCGGCTGGCTCAGCATCTGCCTTCCACTCAGGTCATGGTCCCAGGGTCCTGGAACTGAGTCCTGCATCGGGGTCCCTGCTCGGTGGGGAGTCTGCTTCTCCCTCTGCCCTCCACTCCCCCTGCTTGTGCGCTCACGCGCCCTCTCTCTCTCTCTGGCAAATAAATATATAAAATCTTTTTTAAAATTTTCTGAAAAAAGTAGTTTCTATAAAAAATAACACAATGAAGATGAAAACTGGGAGCATAACGGAGGTGTGGTGTTTACAGGTACGCTGTCTGACAGAGTAAAGCACTCACGCAGTTGGTTAAACAGGATTAGCGAGCAAATGGGGGGATGAGTGGGTAATCCGCATTACAGGGCATACAGCCGGCGTCACTGGGCCTCAGGAAACTGCCAGTTTCAAAGGCAGGTGAGACATTCATGTTCAGTGTTGGGATGAGGAGTGGTGACCCAGGAGGTAGTCTGGAGGGCAAATTAGGAGCTGCAGAAAATGGCAGTGTCCTTTGGAGAGTCCTGGAATTTCATCCTAGAATTATTTTAAAATAGTAAAAAATCTGTGTGCATGAAAATGTTCATTCTTATAGTAACTATAAGAATATAGTAGGGTTTTTTTAAAAGATTTTATTAATTTATTTGTCAGAGAGAGAGAGAGAGAGAGAGAGCACAAGCAGGGGGAGCAGCAAACAGAGAGAGAAGCAGTCTTCCCACCGAGCAAGGAGCCCAGATGCGGGCCTCCGGGATCATGACCCAGTGAGCCACCCGCGCGCCCCTCTCCCACTCTTTGATAGAAGCACTTCTGTTGTGTTGCCTGTATACGGATCTGCACAAACTTCCCTGAAACGGATGGGCAGGGGTTCATCAGGGCCAGTCAGCTAAACAGGGGAAAAGCCACGGAAACGGAGACGAATACTCGAAACAATATCCAACGGTTCTGAGGACAGAGTAAAAATACGTACTGGTGTGTAGAAATGATCAAGACTGCATTAGAAAACCAGACCAGAGAATCACACCACAGCAGTGGGCCGGCCACCCTGCTAACCACACAGGTCTAAGGGGCCATGAAATCACACTGATGGGACAGGACTTAACAGACAAAAAGCAGAAAGAGTGACGTTTCAAACGGGCTCTCAATCAGTATCAATACAAAAAACAGGGTGACCCCGCCATGCGGACTGGGTCAAGTCAAGAGATAGAAAAACACCAGTTACATGAATAAGAAAATCTCACCTAAGATCTAACATAAAACTGTTAACGAGGTAACTAAAAAGTAGGAAGGGAACTTCCCACAGGGACAGCAGACACAGGAAGCAGCTCTACTACCCACAGGATCAGGGAAGCAAAGGAAGACGCTGGAATTTTTGGAACCTAGAAAAAGATCTCCGGTGAGCTGAGGGTGGGCTGCTGCTGCTGGGGTTTCTAAGCTGGGATTCCGTGGGCTGGGAGCCAGGGAGCTGGGAGGGAGCAAAGGCCAGCTGACGCTGAGGGTCTCTGCCAGTGTGGGAGAACGCCCAACTGGGACCAGGGGCTCCTGCTAGCAGGCGCTTTGGCCAGGAGGAGGAAGAAGGGTTACTAAAGGCATCACTCAGGGGAAGAGGAGCAGGCAGGAAGTCCCCTGTTCCTTCTGCCTCCTCTGTCCCTCTGCCTCCTCCTTCTGCTAGTCTCTGACTAGCGCCCTTGAGGCAGAGCCCAACAGAAAGCAGGGGTCAGAGCCCAACGGGGGAAATGCTGGGGTCAGGAGGATGTCCCTGCAGGGAAAGGGAACAGGGTGAACAGGGAGGGGAGATCTGCTACATCCAGGAGCACTGATCAAGCAAGTAAACAGAATCAGGAGAAGGGGAGTCCAGTTCCTTACAGTCAGAGAAGGGAGTTAACGAGTAAGTTACAAATCCCACAGTACTGGATTAGAATCGGAGGCATCGGTGTGACCTCATGATTTTCAACGGACAGAGATATCAAAACAGACATAAATGGCTGCGTCCATCCCCACAGTCCTTGCTCTACCACGGACAGGGCCTGGGGGCAGCAACAGGCACACCAAAGGGCTGGTCTTGGGTTCTCAGGACCATCCTCCTGCAGGGGAACCGGGGCTCCCTGG